GAGAGAGAGAGAATGAGAGATAGAGAGCACGAGAGGGAAGAGGGTCAGAGGGAGAAGCAGACTCCCTGCTGAGCAGGGAGCCCGATGTGGGACTCGATCCCGGGACTCCAGGATCATGACCTGAGCCGAAGGCAGTCGCTTAACCAACTGAGCCACCCAGGCGCCCAAAGTCACACCTTTTCAAGGCCTTTCTCAACTCCCCTGGCCCTCAGTGATCAACCTGTCCACTGACCTTCAGCACCATTATTTCTATTACTTAAATATTATCTTGTTTTATGAACCCATCCTTTTATGTGCCCCTCCTGTCTCTCCAACCAGTCCACACGCCACCACAGACCTGACCATGCCTTGTGCTCAGCTGAGTGTCACGGACCTGGGCAGGTGCACTGATGGCCACAGGTGACCATAATGATGAAATACGGTCAAGAGGAGATACTCTTTAAGGCAGCTTTGTTATGAAGCTAAAAAAATTGTAATAATAAAAATAAAATAAGAATCTTAAGACAGTCTCTGTTTGGAATACTGCTATTTACAAGACAAAAAGCTTATTGGGATAATCATGAATAAATGTGTACTTTGTGATGATTTTTGGATTATAAATGTAAGTAGAAGAGTATGTGACTGTTGTTTTTTTTAACATAAATAGGCATTTGCCTTCTTTAATTATGATAAAAGAAAATCTTCCTCTAAGAAATTCAGGTGCAGGGGCGCCTGGGTGGCTCAGTCGTTAAGTATCTGCCTTCGGCTCAGGTCATGATCCCAGGGTCCTGGGACCAAGCCCCGCATTGGGCTCCCTGCTCAGCGGGAAGCCTGCTTCTCCCTCTCCCACTCCCCCTGCTTGTGTTCCTGCTCTCGCTATCTCTCTCTCTCTCTCTCTCTCTGTCAAATAAATAAATAAATAAAATCTTTGGGGTGCTTGGGTGGCTCAGTCATTTAGCATCTGCCTTCGGCTCAGGTCGTGGTCCCAGGGTCCTGGGATCGAGTCCCGAATCAGGCTCCTTGTTTAGTGAGGGCCTGCTTCTCCCTCTACCTGCCACCCCCTCTGCTTGTGTGCTCTCTCTCTCTCTCTCATTCTCTCTGATAAATAAATAAATCTTAATAAAATAAAATAAAATAAAATAAAATCTTCAAAAAAAAAAAAAGACATTCAGGTGCAAGAGATTGTCCTTTTGGACCCAAAACACTGTTGCAGGCACTTTTGATAACAGAGGTAAATGGGTGTTTCTGGGATACTTAAAATCAGATTAGAGAAAATGTCTGGTGGTGTTCAAGTGGGTAGACACAGCTTTTGGGGAAGAGCACAGCTTTACCGTGTGACGCTAAACATGCCTGAGGCCAATGTTCATGTCAGTCCACAGTAAACTCAGTAAATGCTAACGCTGTTATGTGCGTAACACCAGGTAATGGACAGCTTCATTAATATGGTACTTAGATGCATATTTAGAACACATAAGTAATTATAAAATAAAATAGCAGATGAGTACTACAAGAGTAAGAGAGTACTTCAGAAATTCAGGAGGGAGAGGTCATATTCTGCTGGAATCATGGAGATGGTATTTGAAATGGGTTTTACAGATGGGGTAGGAGTTCACTGGAAAGAGACGGAAGGGAGGCAGGGAGGTGAGTGAGGGAAGGATGCCTTGTAAGTAAGTACATGCAGGTATACAGGCCTAGGGGAAGTTCAAGGAACAGGGAGTGATTCAGCTGGCTAATAGCTGTAGAGAATTAGAGGGGGAAAGGTTAAAAGTTTAGCTACACCAGGCCTTCACTGTCAGCATGAAGAGTCTGGTGTCTGGATTCAGTTGGTAATGGATGAAGAATGGGGTACACTGGAAATAACTGAGGGGTGCCATATTTTTCACAGTTTGATCTGGAATTCATTGTGTAGCATGTAGTGAAATTTGTCTTCAAGCATTTTCTTCACAGGACAGTTATTCCCTGGAACCCTGAACACCTACAATCACACGTGACTCACCTCTCTGAACGAGGCAGGCCTGCTGGTCGGGGTCACTGGTTCTCGCCCCATGACGGCTCTGCATCTCCATCAAGGACTGCCTGCTGGGATGAAAAGCAACACGATAGTGATGTTCTAATGCTCTGAATACAACATTTAGCAGACATTCAACAGCAGGATGGGGAAAAAAGAGCTGAAAAAATGCAAGGTTCATAAAAACCAGAACTTAAGGATTAACTTGAATTTTAAATATTACAGAGTAGTGAAAGAAACTAACAATTAGGATTAAAAAAATCAATCGGTAAATAACCACACTGTCAACTGATAAGGGAACGGATTAGAAAAAAGTGGCGTATTTCTAGAACAAAACATTATGGAGCAATTAAGGAGAATGAAATAAAACTGCATACACACACACACACACACACACACACACACACACACACACACACCTCCAGAGTTCAAAATCACAGTGTTAAAGTCAGCTGCAGAACAATACCTAGTGACCATTTTGTAACTTACACACAGAGAAACTAATATTATGCTGTTTCAAGATATGACATAGATATTATATCAATACTCTGTAAAAGTATAGAACAGATGGGGATGTTACCCCCTCCAAACTCCACGCAAAGAGAGAGAGAGAAACATAATGAGGGGTGGGGAACAGAGGAGGCTCCACCTTCGCCCTTTTTCCTTTTGAAAAAATATCCAAGATGCAAATAAATGTATGCCACTGTCAATTCTGTGTGGAGTACATCGTGGTATGTGCTATTTTATTCCCTGTATTTTTCTATTTCTATTTCTCTATGTTTCAAACTTTTCTCAAAATGGAAATTTAGAAGACAGAAGTAATTTTAGCCATATTTTCTTTTAAAACACATTACAGAATTGTTTAAAGTGTTTAAGACTACATACCCCCGACAACAGCAGGACCGGACTTTGGAACACACAAGGTCAAAGTTTTTACGGCATGTCCAAGAGCAAAGAACTCATCACGTTCCCACAAGATGTGGCCAAGCCTCGTGGTAAGTCACGCTGAGTGTCAGGGACACAATCAAGCGAAGTGTGCTCAGCGTGATTCCTACAGCTCAACTTAGAGAGCACCTCTGACAGGCGCCCTGTGCTTGGCCTGTGCCCAGGGCTCCAGGTGTGTGTTCTGAGCCTTCCCAAGCCTTCCTAAGCCTTCCTAAGCCTCACCTGCCTCCATCTTCAAAAGCATTATTCTCTTTCAGCAGGATTGCCAGCTGCAGGGCCAGTTGCTCCTTTTCTTCATGTATCTTCTCTCTTGCTGCTCTTTCAGCATGAAAGTCCGAACAGTAAACCTCCATCTGGTAGAAGGGAAGGGAGACAGAAGTTACTACACAGATGTACGTGGATTCTTTACGGCCCAATGGGTGACAGGGCACGGGGGAGTGCTCCCTCCTGTGATTCCCTCGTAAGGAACAGGGGTGCACAGTCCTGCTAGAAACCAGTGGCGACCGTAACTTCCAACCACCTTCAGACAGAAGACAAGTTGTGTGTGTGTGTGTGTGTGTGCACGCGCGCACACACACACTTTAGACAATCAGAACCCAACAATGACATTGATATAGGTGGTTTAAACACTGCACGTAATATTCGTTCAGTAAAATTCTCCGGTCTTTTTATTCAGCATTAGCTTAATATAGTAAATGGTTTATTTATTCTGTCAGGTATATTTACGAGGGCTGGCCTTAAGTTTTAAATAATAATAATAAATAGATGCTATTCACTGAATTCCAAACATGTACAAGATCCTACGTTGGATGCCTATATTCCTACCTTAATGCACATGTTGCAATGAGCACTGGGTGTTATACGCAAACACTGAATCATGGAACACTACATCAAAGACTAATGATGTAATGTATGGCAGCTAACATAATAAAAAAAAAATCCTGGGAATGTAGAATTGCTATGCTCATTTTACATTCACAAGTTTAACAGCTCTCAGTCTGGGGTAATTTAGGTAAGTGGTCAAACCAGCTCTTGAACCAAGACAGAAGCCCATATTCTATGCCACTCCTCACGGTGGTAGCCAGCCTCCAAGACAGCTCCAGGGATGCTCACCTCTTCGTATTCAAACCCTTATGTGGTCCCCTTCCACAAAGAATAGAGCCAACTTGTGGAACCGCTAGGGTACTACAGAAATGATGGTGTGTGGCTTCTGCCTTGTTCTCTCCTGGGTCACCTGCTGTGGGGGAAGCTCACTGCCATGTCGTGAAGGTACGCAAGCTGCCATGTGGGGAGCCCCACAGGGTGAGGAACTCAGGCCTCCTGCCCACAGCCATGTGAGTGAGCCGGCTTGGAAGAGGATCTTCCAGTCCATCTTGAGCGCAGCCTCACGAGGGGCCCTGAGCCAGAAGCACCCTGCTACGCTGCTCCTGAATGCCTGACCCACAGAAACCCGAAGATGACAGATGCTTGTGGCTGCAGCTGCTAGAATGGAGGATAATTTCTTACCTAGAAATATATAAATATTATGCCGTGAGAGCGATTTCTTCACTGTTACAAAATTCTAAAGTAAAGATGAACGCCTTAATAGTGAAATGAACATTACTCTAAGACCAGTTTTTAACTTTCTATATTTAAAATTAGGGTTTCCCCCCTAAATTTCGTGGTTCTAGAATACAAATATTTATCTTTCTCACTTTTGAAAGTAAAATTAAATAAAAACTTAAATATTCTATCACAGTTTTAGTTACCCCCCCAAAACAAACAAACAAATCACACAACTCTGTGATAAGAAGGTCATTTTAAGGGACTTCCTGCCACTTGTGAACATTTTATGTGACCACTGATGCATCATGGGAATTTTTGAGTCAGATCCCAATTTGAGTTACAGTCTTACTTCGATCACTGATCAGCTTTGAGCCAGTCAGACCCGGGTCGTTCTGTCCATTCCTACAGGCCCTGTGACACCAGTGGCTCACGTTTCAGGCTCAAAAAGAAGTGGCCGAATGAATAAACCAGAGTATCCACCAAAACTCAACAAATGTCCACGTACAGAAGGACAAAGGACATGACAGCAGTATCATGAGGTACCCGGACAAACGAATGCTATAAAGAGCTTGGTTTGAAATTCTCTTCCTATAGAAATAAAACTCAAGACTCTAAGTCCAGTCAACCACCTCTGGATTTCATATTTGAGTAATGAGTATGTATGTGGTCATTGAGAAATAATAAACTGTTGACTTTGTTATGTTAAAAATAATTTATCTTTACCAGACTGGCAAACATTTAAAAGAATGCTACAAGGAGGTGGGGAAATAGACGTTCTCATCTCCTTCGGTGAGAGGATAATTTTGGTCATGCATTCTTGGAAGACAACTTGTTAATATTTAATTAACTTAAAGACAGGCACACCCAATAACCCAATCATTCCAAGTCTACATCTCACTATAGATTCCACAAGTGCACAGAGACATACATACAAGAATGTTCACTTCAGCATTGCTGATAATAGCAAAAATATTGGTACAACCTATACATCCATTAATAGAGGGCTGGTTAAATCTATCATGGTAATGCACACTTTGGAATACCATACAACTGTTCAAAAAATAACAAATGGCTATGAGTACTAGTACGGAGAGAAGTCCAAGGTACACCATGACTGAAAAGTTGTATAAAAGGTATACTGCAATCCCACTTTTAATTAAGCAAACAAAATAACAACAAGAGACAAAGGTTTTCCCCCCTTTTTCTGTGGTTTTACATCTCAGGCAGGATGCATTGCCGCTGATAAACTTTCTGCAAGTCCTCCACCCACCAGGAGCAAGAGTGGGGCCAACCAGTAACGATAAGCCACGGTACACAAATTCTTCCAGAGTAAAAGAAGGAATGTGCCTCAACTTGTTTTCATGAGGCCAGTAAAACCTTGATCTCAAAACCTCACAACGACATTAGCAAAGGGAAAATTCTAGGCCAATCTTATTCAAGAATATAGATACAAAAGCCCTAAGTAAAAGATGAACAAACCAAATCCAGCAATATGTACAAAGGATAATTCAAGAAATGTAAAGTTTGTTTAATATTTAAAAATCAATATGATTCACCACTTTAACAAATTAAAGGGAAAAGGAATGTAATTATCCAATTATATCATTACCGGAAGAAAAGAACTTTCCCTAAATAAAATTCAACATCCACTTGAAATTTTGGCACACAAGGAAGAAAAGGGAATTTCCTTGATTTGATAAGTGATATCTACAAAGCCTGTAGCAAACACCATACACTTAGCAGTAAACTGTTAAAAATCACTGCCTCTGAGACTGGGAGCAAGGCAAGGCTGTCTTACCATCTGCACTGTTACACAACACTGTATGAGGGACCCAGTCAGTGTAATAAGGCAAGAAAAAGAAATAAAACGTAGGAAGAACCAGAAAGGAAAAAACCCCAAACTGTCATTATTTAAATGATATGATTATGATTGTAAAGAGGTCAAAAGAATATTCAGAGATATTATTAAAATTAAAATGTGAATTGAGCAAGTCTACTGGATACAAAATCAATATATAAAAATCAATTGTATTTCTATATAACAGCAGGTGTTAAAAAATGAAAATTTAAAAAAGGTGCTATTTACAACAGTATCGTAAAAATAGAGTATCTATGAGTAACCTATTAAAAGATGAGCAAAATCCTTACTAAGAAGATTAAAAATATTACTTAGAAGAAATAAAGAAGATACGCCATGTTCATGCATGGGAAGAGTCACTGTTGTAAAGACGTCGGTTACCTCCAAATTGATTTTTATCTATTTAATATAATTCAAGTCAAAGCTCCAGGAGGTTTTTCTGTGCGTGTGTGTGTGTGTGTGTGTCTGTATGTGTGTAAAATACCAAGCGGATGCTAAAATTAAAATGACAATGAAAAAGGGAAAGAAAATCTAAGGTCCTCTTGACAAGTATCAATGAGGTAGGAAGACTTACTCTACCAGGTATCAAAATTTTGGAGCTTCATACTAAGTCAAGACAGTACGGTACCAGAGCAAGGATACAAAAATAGCTCAATGGAACAGTAGAGAGTCCAGAAATAGACCCATGGACACCTGAACACAAGATACAACAAAGAAGGCAGCACATTACTTAAGATGACATTTTACATAAATGGTGCCAAGGCAACACGACAAAAAAATAAATCTTCACTCTTACCTCACTCTATAAAGAAAAACTAATTCCAGGTGGTTTCTAGATATTAATGTAAAAGGCAAAACAGTAAAATTTTTAGAAGACAACTCGGGACAGTATCTTCATGGCCTTGAGGTAGTGAAAGTTTTTCAACAGGACACAAAAAGTACTAATTTTAAGTGTAAAGACTGACAATGTAGACTACATTAAAATAAAGAACTTCTGTTCATCAAAAGACACCTTTACGGGCGTGAAAAGACAAATCACGGAGCCAAGAAATCTGCAACAAATATAACTGTCAAGGGCTTGTGTCTGGCGTGTATAAAAAACTCATAAAATCAAGACAGCAAACCAGAAGAAAAATGGGCAAAGACGTCTTCAGGCACTTCACAAAAGGGAGCACCAAGAAGACTAGTTAACACTTGAGAAAGTACTCAGTCTCATTAGTCATCAGGGAAATGCACATTAAATGAGATACCATTATATGCCCACCAGAATGCTTACAAACGAAAGTAAAAATACTGATAATACAAGGATGGGTAAGGATGTCGAGCAACAGGGACTCTGTTGATGGGAGTGAAAACTGGTACAATCACTTTGGAAAAGTGTTGGCAACATCCACTAACAGAGTAACACGTGTACTCTAGGAACCAGCAATTCCACTGCTAACTGGGTAGGCACCCAACAGAAAGGAACGCACAGGCCAACAGAGAGAGACATCCACAAGAATGTCAGAACAACCTCAATCATAATGCCCCAAACTGAAAATAATCCAACTACCTATCAACTGTAGAATGGATACATTCATTGAGCTCTACCCTTAAAAGTTTGGTGCACTTTCCACACATGATATGCTTCAATAAAAAATGTTTTTAAATATATTGGTGGAAATTATATAAAATCCAAAAATATATTTTGAACACCATCACTTTCCCATAGGAGAACATAATCAGGGTTGGCCTCACCCAGTTCATGTTTCAGAACGTAGCTTACCTGAGCCCGAAGAACAGTCATGGTTTCCAGGTCCTCCTCCTGCTTGGCGATGGTCTGCTTCATCTCATCCATCTGAAGCTGCTTGGAAGCCAGGGCCTTCTCTGCCAGTTCCAGCTTTTCACTTAGTTCTTGCACTACCACCTTATCTACTTTTTCTGACTGAAAGAGACAAGATCATTCTAGAAATGGCTGTGAAATAACTCAACCTAATTTATTTTTTTTTAAGATTTATTTAAGCGAGAGAGCGTGAATGAGCAGGGGTGGGGAGGGGCAGAGGGAGAGGGAGAGTCTCAAGCAGGCCTAACCGAAGATGCCCCCCCAGCACCCCTAATTCAACCTATTTTAGTAAAACATTAAACGATGTTTTATTTTTTTAAATCCATGGCTCTAAACTGTTCTGTTAATTAGCAATGATAACTTAAACTCAGAAAGGTTTATTCATTTAACTTAGAGTTTGCAAATTATAATTTCTTAATTTAAAACAATTTTAAAAAGAACACATTAAAATAAGGGAAATAATGACAAACCATGATCTCAGTGCGGTTGTAACTTGCTGATACCATTATTTTTCCCACTGATATTACTCTTATATGGTGAAGTCAGTGGAAAAGAAGAAACATGTTTAAATTAAAAATTGATCACCTCACACCTGTCAGAATGACTAGTATCAAAAAGACAACAACAAGTGTTGGCGAGGATGTGCATGAGAAAAAGGAACCCTCGTACACTCTTGGTGGGAATGCAAAACTGGGGCAGCCACTCTGGAAAACAGTATGGAAGGGGCAACCCTGTAGGAAACGTTCTCACTCTTGAGAGCTTTTTCTGTATCTTCACTTAATAAACTTCTATCGCTTTACTCACAAAAAAGAGAAAAAAAGAAAAAAAGAGAACAGTATGGAGGTTCCTCAAAAAGTTAAAAATAGAACTACCCTATGATCTGGCAATCCCACTTCCCAGTATTTATCCAGAGAAAATAAAAATACTAATTCAAAAAGATACATTCACTCCTATGTTTATTACAGCAGTATTTACAATAGCTACGTATTTAGGAAGCAACCTAAATGTCCATCAAATAGCTGAATGGATAAAGAAGATGTGATCTATATTTGTACAAACACACAACACACACACAGACAAGAATATGACTCAGCCATAAAAGACTGAAATCTTGCCATTTGTGACAATATGCATGGAACTAGAAGGTACTATGCTAAGTGAAATAAGTCAGAGAAACAAACAAATACCATATGATTTCACTTATGTGGAATCTAAAAAACAAAACAAATGAACAAACAGAAACAAGCTTATAAATACAGAGAATGAACCGGTGGTTGCCAGAGGAGAGGTACATAGGGAGATGAAGGGAATCAAGAGGTATAAACTTCTTGTTATAAAATAAACAAGTCAAGGGATGTACAGTACGGCACAGGGAATAGAGCTGACCCTCGAACAATGCAGGGGTCAGAGGCACTGAGCCCCCGCAGAGTCGCAAATCCACATGTAACTTTTGACTCCCCAGAAACTTAACTAGTAACAGCCTATGGTTGACTGGAAGCCTTACCGATAACTTAGTGGATTAACACATATTTTGTATGTTATATGTATTATATACTGTACTCTTACAATAAAGTAAGCTAGAAAAAATGTTATTAAAATCATAAGAAAGAAAAAACACATAGAGTCCTGTATTTTAAAAAATCTGCAATATTAGGTGGACCCGTGCAAACCCTTTTTGTTCAAGGGTCAACTCTACAGTCAATACTATTGTAATGACTTTGTATGGTGACAGATAGTAACTACAGTTATAAGCATTTCATAATGTATATAAATATCGGATCACTACGTTGGACACAGAAAACTAATATGACATAGTATGTCAACTCTACTTCAATTAAAAATAAATAAGTAAATAATGAAAAAAATTTACAAATCCTAGAGAGGAACAATATTCTATTAAAAAAAAAAAGAAAGAAAAACAGGGGTATCTGGGCGGCTCAGTCAGTTAAGCATCTGACTCAGTTAATGATCTCATGGTTGTGGGAGCAAGCCCTGTGTCCTCAGGCTCCACACTCAGCGGGGAGTCTGCTTGAAAGATTCTCTCCCTCTGACCCTCCCCCCGCTTGTGTGCACCTTCTCTCTCTCTCTCAAATAAAACTTAAAAAAAAAAAGAACAAAGAGTACATTTATAAGCATATAAACTCAAAGACCCCTTCTAATTCAAAGCTTCCATGATCTTTACTTACTGATCCCAGCTTTATCCAAGTGAAACTGACAAATTAAATTGTAAGCTATTTAAAGTGAACAATGTGACAATTTGATATGGGTATACAGCGGGAGAGGGCTCCCCCCAACCAGGTTAATGAACACGCCTATCACCTCACACATCTACCCATTTTTAAACTGCCACACCATGCTGGTGTTATACTAATGTAAGCTGCAGTCCGGGAGTCCAGGGTCCCAAGGTCACTGACAGGAGCCAGCTAGCCCTGTAACAGCTCCCTGGAGACAACCCCACCAGTGGACACCCACCGTCTCGCTGTGCCCTGCTCATGTGGGAGCCCATGCTGGTAGCTCTCCTATAAACCCACTCGCTGCTAGAAACGCTAAAAGCTGGGGCGCCTGGGTGGCTCAGTCGGTTAAGCGTCTGACTCTTGGTTTCGGCTCAGGTCATGATCTCAGAGTCGTAGGATTGAGCCCCGAGTTAGGCTCCATGCTCATCAGGGAGTCTGCCTGAGATTCTCTCTCCCCCTCTCCCTCTGCTCCACCCCACCCTGCCCTCTTTCTCTCTCAAATAATAAATAAATCTTAAAAAAAAAAAAAATAAAAAAAGAAATGCTAAATGCTTACTCCCCAACCATAGGACGTCAGCACCATCTTTGCACACAAGGAACATTATACACAGAACATCAGAAGTTCTACCCACTTAGATACAAGAAATCAATTATAAACTGAAGAACAACCTTTGAAACCATACTTAGTTATGGATTAACACAACTACTTTACCTATAAAAAATGTTTATAGTTTCTATTCGCTATGAGGCTACGAAAGTCATTTTTTTTCTATGAATACCTCTTTCCTTTTCAGTTCCTCGAGTGTTTTCAATGAATTATTGTATTCTTGAAGAAGCTTGTTATGTGTCAACTGGAGAGTGGCTAACTTGGACCTATTTAAAAAGAAATTAAGAAATGGAATCTTGGGGGAAAAATATAAAAACTTAGTCTTGCCTTCCCACATCTTCTGAATACTCGACTAGCAAAATCTTCTCTCCTACCTTTACCAGCCCACCACCTGCTAGCATTTTCTTACTCTCAAAGAAAACAATCTTTCCAAAAAAAAAAAAAAAATCAAGATAGATTACAAGTAACTTTAATCATTTTGTTATAATAGAACAAATTTTATCTCCTCGGAGAAGTCTCCTGGTACTCCTTCAAATAGATAAAAGAGAAAAATTTTAAATTTATTCTTAAATCCTAATTCCAATCTTATAAAAGTGCTCTTCCACCTTCTTCTAGCAAGTGGTCATTCAGTTGTGGCATACTCACTTTTCCTCTTCGCTTTTAGCTTGCTCCATTTTGATTTCTGATCGCATGCTTTCCACTTGTAGCTCCAACTTTTTGTTGTTATAAACAAGCTCTTGCTTTTCATTCAGCTCTGATGGGGCTGCAGAATTTTTCCTTTCAAGAGCCTGACATCTAGGAAAGATCAAAATTTCATGAGGATAAACCACGCTCCTTCATTTCTCAGTGGCTTTTAAACCAATCCCAAGATTATGTAGTAAATACAAAGAAATTTTGGATTGCATTTTTAACGATTTAATAATGCAAAATAAAATATTTTATCCTTCTGGCTTCTTTACTAGAAGCAAGTAATATTTCTAAACTCTCATGACTAAACACTAAAAAAATACAGATCTTTTTTTCTGGAAAAGAAATTTACATATTTCTGAACCCTTATGCCTAATGTAAAAAAACCACAGATCTAAGACCACACAAGCTATGGAAAAACTGTCTTAAGCAGTCATGCAAGTACATTTTTGTTCTTTAGACACAGACCAAAATAGTAATTGGCTAAAGGTGTTTTCCATATAGTGATCCATGGATATCTTCAATACTTTAAAAAGTTTGGGTTCTGTTAAGCATAAAGAGTATGACTTCTGACAAAGATTTAATAAGGGAAAAGTAAGTGTCCTAAGTTTTCTTAAATATCAAAAAGAATTTCAACATAATAATAGCAAATATGAACCAACGGTTGCTATATGCAAGGCATTAACACCAAGCATGGTAAACATCTCAATACAACGTTATGAAGTAGAGATAATGACACACATTGTACAAATGATAAAAGTAGGGCTCAGAGAGGTTAAATAAATAACTTGCCCAAGGCAATACCACAAATAAATTCAGATCCATAGTTCAACTAAGTCTGTTTGTCCAAAGTCCTTAGCTTTAAGCTGCTGTGCTGTGCCAGACTACCATATCATCGTATAGCCTTGGTAAGTGTGAACTCTAAGGCAACATACACTCATGTGTTGTGCTGGATATATGTTTGCCAACTAATCCAAAAGAATAACATTTTTAAATGTCGGGTAACTTGCTACACCAAGAAAAACAAGCAAATGCAAAGTTCTCAATTTAAATATTAGCCTTCACAATTGATTGAAAATGAGTTTTTTTCCTCAATAAAGCTCACTCAAGTTCTTTCTCCTTGCAGCTTTCATTTATGTTTGCTTACATCCATACTGTCAGTTCAGGTTAAGTCCCAGGAAATCTGGCTTACTGCTTTTTTACAGGTCCTCACATAGGCTACAGTATGTGTAACAAACATCCCTGAACAGCAGAATCAGATTTTCCCGGGCCCCATTCCCCCATATTACAAGTATATTTATATATGAACATGTACATTAATCTCGATGTTAATGTTTGCTGAATTCATACTTTAATTAGGTTTCTATTTTTCTTCTAGTAAGATAACAAAACTATGTTTTTACATAGTAATATATTTCTTAAAAATGTCCATTTTCTAAGGGAAAATAGAATTCATCTCTCATTCTTACTTCTCTTGAAGTCTCTTCTTCATCAGCTCAGCTTCACTGAGTTTTGTATGAGCCTCTTGAAGCTCCTTAAATAGAGTTGTCACCTGAAGGTTCAACGTCTCCACTTCACTTCCAACCTGTCATTCAGGAAATCCCAAACATGCACATGTGATTCGGATCAGAGATTAAATGAACTTCTTTGTGAGAAAACAGTGCGAACCATCAGTGTCCCACTAAGACTGGTGAGCTGATTAAACTTTTGACAATGCCGTAAATATCTTCCAAGAAAAGAAATGTTTCAGATACAACTGTTTCCTTGTATGTCTACATTTACTAATTATATATAACATTTTATATTCATGATATGTAATTTATATGTATAATCACTAATTCATATGGCAATATTTATATATAAAACTGTTTTTCTTACATAACTGATCAATTTGGATACACTGTGATAATGACTTTATCATAATTTTTTTTTTCCTTGTAGACGTGTGGAGTTTATTTAAAGGGAAGAAGAACTGTCTCTTTTTTGATTCTGGCAACCCAAGAACATCCCCTCTTAAGACTTATAGGGGCCAAAATTCACACAAACATTCCCAGATGTTAAGGTTTTAGGTTTTGCTAGTTTCTGCTCACCCTTTATCATCACCTCAGTTAATCCTGATCATGGCTCAGGGGATCACAGAGCACAGCGGTGTGAAAGCACAATCTAATTTACCCAGAGAGCAGCTTTTGCCCATAGTCCTTTGCCGATTTATGTTTCTAGTTAACTCTACTCTTTTTACTGAACTGCATTTTCCCTGGCAGCTCCAGAATGGCTGTCAGTGAGCTTTTTGGTGCCTTGGAAATCTCAGTACTCCTCTATTACTGGTTGTCAGATTGGCTTCAGTCAAAAATGCACTATGACTCCCGGGTCTTCTCTTCATCTGTATTCTAAATGTTCTCCAGTCTCTTGAAGTAGGAGACTCAGCCCAGCATATGGCAAACAGTAGGCATTCAACATGTATTTGTTGAATAAATGAATTGGCTAAAGTGAGCATCTGACAAAAAATGTCTTTCACATGGAAAACCGCAGCTCTTACAAATTCCTGCCTTCATCCACCTTCCCTGAGCTTATGACCGAGTGACGGGCTCCAAGGCACAGCTCTGAGGTGCCACAGAACACTGGCTACAGAAACATGAAACTCTGCATTCAAACTATTTCACTCAAACCAGTAGTAGGGGATAATCGAGATCTTTCAATTCTATCTCAAGTTTTTGGGTCATATTTTTTTTTTTTAAGATTTTATTTATTCATTTGCGAGAGAGACAGAGAGAGAACAAGCAGGGGGAGAGGCAGAGGGAGAGGGAGAAGCAGACTCCCCGCTGAGCAAGGAGCCCGATGCGGGACTCGATCCCAGGACCCTGGGATCATGACCTGAGCCAAAGGCAGATGCCTAACCATCTGAGCCACCCAGGCGCCCTGGGTCATATTCTTAAAACATCTCATTATAAAGTGGGTAAAATTCCTTTCTCCACTAGACGGCCTGTTCACTCACAAAGTTAGGAGAGAAAATTAGTCAAGAAGAGATAGAGGTGGGGGCGCCTGGGTGGCTCAGTCGGTTGGGCATCTGACTCTTGATTTCAGCTGGGGTCCTGATCTCAGGGTTGTGAGATGGAGCCCTGGGCTCCGCCCTCCACAGGCAGTCGGCTTGGGATTCTCTTTCTCCCTCTCCCTCTGCCCCTCCCCCCACCCATGCACCCTCTTGCTCTCTTAAAATAAATAAATCTTAAAAAAAAAAAAGAAGAGATAGAAGTGTGATTCCTTAGAATCACTGGGATAGGAACACATCTCACTACAATTTACTATGGATGAAATTCAAATCAGGACAAGGAAATATGAGAGAAACAGAATATATGCAACATTAAAATTATTTCTATTTCTAAAGCTAATAACACAGCACAAGACCTGACTTCAGATACGACTCTTAGGTCCACTGGGGGTGTGACAGCAGCCTTAGAACCTGAGTACCCACAGTTTCTGGGCCTTTCTCCTCTTCTTTCTCCTTTTCTGTGCTACCCTCCGTCTGGGTCTCAACCTCAGAATGATCACGGGCTTTCTTTTCAAAACAGGAAACTCTGAAAAATACAGAGTATGGAAAAGTTACTTTCTCTTTGGGTTCAAGAGGAATAATAATTGCAGAAGCACTAAAAAGAACACTGTCCAAAATTTGGATAAAGGATCAGGGGTTTCAAAATCTCTCTGCATTTGCTATATTATACATTAACCTTTTGGGGTTTAGCTCTCATCCTAAAATTGGCTAGATGTGATTTAAGATATGAATTCATGCAGAGGTAAAAGGTGGGCATAAATCATCCCAAACACTGAAAAACACTGCCTCTTTTCATGTAACAGTAACACACAGAAATATTTTTAAAATCTGTGTGTGTGTGTACATATATGCATGCATGTGTGTTACATGAGTGTGTGTCCCTTTGTAAGGATTCGGCAGAGAACAGAGCCTTTTTGGACCTTTTTGGACCCATCTAAGTTCACAAGTCCCTTAAAAACAAACAAATTTACCGATATTCTCACTGAATCATAACCACACGAAAGCCAGCCTAAGGCAAATGAAACAAGAAGAGATTTCTGGTTAAAGATATCGAACTGAATATATGCATGTAAATTTTCTCCCACCCTGTACCCCACCAAAATGACTTTTAAAAAGCCATATACGTACAAGAACAAAGAGAAAGGGAAAGGAAATAACAACAAGAAGATTTGGGGGGCACAGCTATGGGTGGGACCTGACTTGGCAGCCCACCAAGGCTGGGTCTGAAGCCAACAGTAGGGAAAGCCAAGACGTAACCTGACTGACACTGTGGAAAGCAAAAGGCTCAGGAGTCAGTGACACCAGGTATCTCTGGATGTGGGGACAAAGGTGGGGCCTGTTTAAGAGGGACTAGAAGCGGTGCCTAGGTGGGTCATTTAGTTGGGCGTCTGACTCTTGATCTCAGGGTCGTGAGTTTGGGCCCCACGTTGGGCTCCATGCCGGGCGTGGAGCCTACTTAAAAAAAAAAAAAGAGGGTCTAGAATATCACAAAATAAAAGGTTTCTGGGTTCAGACGTTAGAGATGAGATGTGGGTTCTTCTATAAGGAGAACTTACACACAGAACATTAAGACCCTCAGCCACCTTTTTCTCCTCATCTTAAGAACTTCAGCATTTGAAAAATACCCTCCAGGCAGGAGGCTGGAAGAGTCTCCTCTGGAGTATGTAACCAGGATAAGGGAAAAGATTTAAAGTTTCTGATACGGGGCTTCCCCAAGGAAACCTCCCAGCCAGATCTCCCTACAGGTGCACCCAGAGCTTCAATCAGCTTCTAACACCCTGTAATCCTGCTAAATCTGATCAAACAGCCAAGACTGCTAGACATTTAAGGAAAATCTTAATATGAAACAGAAAAAAGTAACTTACTGAAAATAGAATATGCCAGCAGGGAAAAAAAAAAGTCAAAAATATCATTAATATCCTTAGAGATATGAGGAAACATTACAACCACAAAAAAATGGAACACAATAAAAAAGGAACATTCAAAGGTTCTCCCCCACAAAAAAGGGAAGATGAAAGTTGATCAAATTTATCAGAAAGGAGAAAAAGGGAGAGACAGAAAAAGGGAACAAGGAGTTAAGAAAATTAGAGGAGATCCAATTCAAAATAATAGTAATGCTAGAGAGAGAGAACAAAGAAAATTGAGGGTAAGAGACTATCGCTAAATTAATTCAAGATCATCTTTCAAGAACTGAAGGACATGAGTTTGCAAAATGAAAGAGCCCAAGAGTGTCCGGAACAAACAGATGAAAAACAGGCTCACACCAAAGCATGTGAGAAGTCTCATCCCCAAAGATGAAGAACCAGGATGGCAGTGGGTCTCTCAGCGTTAACGACAGAAGCTAGGACATAATGAAGCAAATTTTTTGAAACGTGGAGGGAAAATTAAATCCGATTACAGAATTCTATATCTAGCCAAACTATCCATGAGGTATAAAGGCAGAAGGAGAGGTTTTCAGATATGCGGGTCTCAGAAAATATACTGCCCATGTATTGTTTCTCAGTAAGTTAGTGGCAATGTGGTGAGCTCTGTTTGCAACAAAACAAAACAACAACATTTAAAAAGAGTAGGAAAGGCATTGGATTCAGGAAACAGGTGATGGAAAACAGGAAAGCTGAAGGAGTTCCTCAGGGTGAAGGCAAAGTGAGATGCCAAGATGAGTGCCATGAGGCAGGACCTAGAAAGCAAGTAGGGCAGACTCCAGAGAGAATACCACTAGACTACTAACATGTCTGAATGTATCTGAGAGATTTCCTCATTGGGGAAGAGTATGGGGAAACTAAGCAAATTTTAAAGATGTAATTATGCACAGAAGTTAAAAAAAAGGAAGAATATTTAAGGCACAGAGCAGAGCTCAAGTGAGTACTCCCTGTGTGCGCCTAATAACGTAAACACCGAGCAGTTACCTAACTAAATTTCAGTAGAGCCAATTTCGGAGGTGGAGCAGGTAAGCTGGGTCCAGAAGCACGTGTGTGTGCAATGGGAGGGCAACAGAATGCGTTCACAATAGGGGGACAACTCGGTAGCCATTTAAGACTGGTGCATGGACGGAAATATCAAAACGGTCACAACCATTGCAAACTGCCAAACCTAACTGGTGCAAAGGCACTACTTCGGGCTAAGCCAGATAAATGGGTTAAGAGCCAGCTGGTGCGGGGTTGATGGATGGGCCTTTTTCACGCCACTCATGTATGACCCAGGGTTCTGATCTACATTTGAATCATCACTTGTCTTACTTTTCTAGGGCAAATTTTCATCTTGGACTGACTTTCCCTGCTACTTCTCGATTCTCTTGAGCCACACTTCCTACACACTTACCCCTCTTGTTGTCAGTTTAAATTTGTTTAGAAAACACAAATTACATGAAAAACAAGTCCTGGAAAACAATGAGAAAAAAAAGAGACAAACCTATGATCCCCCTTCCCCACAAATCTCCTAAAAGTTTTCAGAATAAATTTCACACTGTCAATGCCCCTATTTGTCATGATTAATGAAAATAGCTGAAGACTCACTTGTTTGAGAAAGAGATATGTTAGGTCTTGGGATGTGTTTTCACTGTATCCTACACAGCATGTAAACCAAGCCACGCTATCCAGGTATTAGGGATTTTATTTCTTGGTTTCGGTTCTGCCATAGTGAGGGGGAAATCATCATCCTGATACCCACCCAGAGAACGAGTCTTGGCAACTACTGTTGACTTGCCAGTTGTTAAATACTGAGAGAAGGCTGGCTCACAGAGTGGAGATTTAATTCTATTGAGAAACGGACCCTTTGCAGGTGCTCAAGGTGGGAGACTAAACACAGCCATCTCAAAGGCACGCCTGACTTCCTAGTGCCATCCGAAGAGCTACAGCTGCAAGCAGAAGGCTGTAATTATTCTGAAAGCAGGAATTACGTATATCATCTGAATGATGAGGAGATACAATTAGCAAATTCCTAAGCGGACACCACTTTCATCATGAAAGCTAATCATGTTGTCTAAGTACGGATGAATTACTGGCTAAACTCGACTTCTGAGAACGGTGTACAGAACACAGGAGGGGTAAAGGTGCCTACAAAATATAAACACATGGTGATTATGTATGGCTAGTAAAGGTTTCCTTCAAAGAGTAACAACATCTTCCCTTTAAAAACCAGCTGTGGTAATTAAGGTGTAAAAAGAATGCTTTTATCTATCTATCCATGCATTGTTACTATGTTTTAGGATTTGTCTGAAAGATAGGACAAATATTTTTCTCCATTAGAATACATGGTGCTAGTCTCCTAGAAGTCAACCTTTGAAATTTTCTAAGGGACAACAGTAGGATATGGTGTGTAAACCCCTAGGATGCAGAGCCAGCACCTTTTGAAATGAGCTATGAAATAAGTCATTGGACCAATGTCGATGCGTCTTCCAGGTTAACCTCATCTGAATAAGTAACTTAGGTTTCATATTTGACAAAAAGCTCTTTCTGTAATTAAAAATTTAAACTGTTTCAGGGGCGCCTGGGCGGTGCAGTTGGTTACGCGTCCTACTCTTGGTTTCAGCTCAGGTCCTGATCTCAGGACCGTGAGATCGAGCCCCGCACTGGGCCCCCTGCTCAGGGTGGAGTCTGCTTGAGACTCTTCCTCTCACCCTCCCTTAGCCCCTCTCCCCCTTCCTCACTAAAATAAATCAATCTTTTTTTTTTAATAAGATTTTATGTATTTATTTGACAGAGGGAGACGGTGAGAGAGGGAACACAAGCAGGGGGAGCAGGAGAGGGAGAAGCGGGCTTCCCGCGGAGCAGGGAGCCCGTTGCGGGGCTCGATCCCTGGACCCCGGGATCATGACCTGAGCCGAAGGCAGACGCTTAACGACTGAGCCACCCAGGTGCCCCTAAAGTGAATAAATCTTAAAATTTAAACTGCTTCAGTTAGAAAGCACTTCTCACAGCGCTATAATTTTAAGATTAATAAGCCATTTACAGTGTCTGAGAGAATTAATTAGGTCATAGTATACTTATGATTAAATGTTGCAATTGCTGGAGCCCTAAAACTAATGCATAACCTCTCCCATTTCCTACATGGTTTAGAACTTTGCATTTTTTTTAAGATTTTATTTATTTACTTGAGAGAGAGAAAGATAGAGAGAGCATGAGAGGGGGGAGGGTCAGAGGGAGAAGCAGACTCCCCACTGAGCAGGGAGCCCGATGTGGGACTCGATCCCGGGACTCCAGGATCATGACCTGAGCCGAAGACAGTTGCTCAACCAACTGAGCCACCCAGGTGCCCGTGGACTTTGCATTTCTAAAAAGTGCATTTGCACACAAATTCCTTGACTTCACAACTCTGTAATATAGGTGAATTTTACCCCAAAGTGTGTGTGTATGTGTTTACACGTATACCATATTCTATGAGGCCAGTATTTCCCTTACACCAAAACCAAAGACATTACAAGGAAAGAAAACTATGGGCTGATACCCCTTACGAATAAAGATGCAAAAAATCCTTAACAAAATTTTAGTAATCTAAACTAGCACATATAGAAAGGATTACACATCATGACCAAGTGGGATTTACAAAGGTTGGTTTAACACTTGAAAATCCATGACTATAATACATCATATTAACAGAAGTTTAAAAAACCATTAATCATCCCCATAGACATGGAAAAAGCACTTCACAAAATCCCAAACCCTTCACAATAAAAAGTACAACAAACTAGAAATAGAAGGCAGCTTCTCAACCTGACAAAAGCATCTATGAAAACTTGCAGCTAACATCATACTTGATGGTAAAAGGCTGAAGGCTCTCCCCCCTAAGTAAAGCATGCCTGCTTTCTCCACTTGTACTTAACGTTGTGCTAGAGATTCTAGCCAGGGAAATTGTGCAAGAAAAAGAAATACAAGGTACCCTTGTTGGTAAGGAAGAAGTAACACTATCCCTTTGCAGAGGACATGATCTTGTATAAAGAAAATCCTAAGCAATCCACTAAAAAGCTATTACTGCTAATACATGAGTTCTAGCAAGGTTTCAGGCTACAAGATCAATGTACAATATACAAAAAAGTCAGCAGTATTTCTATACACTAGCAAAGAATACTCCAAACATGAAATTAAGAAAACAACTTCATATTTAACAGTGCTAACAAATTTTGAAAAGTAGTTTAAGGCCTGTATATTAAAAATGACAAAACATCATTGAAATACATTACAGATGACCTAACTAAATCTATGGGTTATCCTTCATGGATCAGAAGATTTAACATAGTTAAGAACAATATTAACTGAACTCCAGATTCAATGCAATCCCTAACAAAATCCCAGCTGGCTTTTTTTTTTTTTCCAGAAATTAACAAACTTATCCTAAGATTTGTACAGAAAAATAAGAAACCCAGGATAGCCAAAACAATCTTTCAAAGTTGGAGAACCCAGACTTCCTGATTTCAAAATTTACTACAAAACTGTATTAATCAAGACAGTGTAGCATTAGCAAAGGATAAACATATAGATCAAAGGAATAAAATTGAAGCTTTAGAAATTAATCTTTACATGCATGACCAACTGATTTACACCAAGGGTGCCAAGGCAGTTCACTGAGGGAAAGAATGGTCTTTTCAACAAATGGTGTTAGGATGACTGGATATCCACACACGAAAGAATGAAGTTGGACCCCAACCTCACACCATACATACATATGAACTCTAAATACATTTAGAGACCTAAATGTAAGGGCTAAAACTATAAAGCTTTTAGAAGAAAACACAGTGAATCATTGTGACCCTGGATGAGTCAACGGTTCATTAGATACAACACCAAAAGCACAAGTGACAAAAGAAAAATAAATAAAGTGGACTACATCAAAATAAAATTTTGTGCTGTCAATGATAGCGCCCAGGAGGTAAAGAGGTGATTCACAGAATGGGAGAAAATATTTGCAAGTCATATACCTCATAAAGGATTTGCATCTGGAATATATACTGAACTCTTATAACTCAGTAAAAAAAAGGCAATCCAATTTTTTATAAATGGGTAAAGGATTTCAATAGATATTTCTTCAAAGAAGATATACAAATGACCAACATGAAAAGATGCTCAACATTATCAGTCATTAGGAAAATCAAATCAAAATCACAATGAGACACCACTTTACACCCATGAGGATGGCTATAATCAAGAAGACAGACAATTACAAGTGTGAATGAGGATGTGGAGAAAAGTAGAACCCTCATACATTGCTGGCAGAAATGTAAAATGGCGCAGCCACTGCAGAAAACAGTTTGGTAGTTCCTCAAACTATTAAACACACAGAGCCAATGACCCAGCAATCCCACTCCTGGGTATATACCCCCAGAGAATTAAAAAAAATATGTCCACAGAAAAAGTTGTGCAAGAATGTTTACAGCAAACATTATTCACAGTAGGCAAAAAGTGGGAACCAAAATGTTCACCAACTGATGAATATAAGTAAAATGCTGACTAGTCACACAATGGACTATTATTTGGCAACAAAAAGGAAGTGAAGGACTGGTATGTGCCACAACATGGATGAACTCTGAAAACATGACGCTACATAAAATTAGTCAACCACAAAGGGCCACATATTATATGGTCCCATTTATATGAAATGTCCAGAATAGGCAAATCTGTGGAGACAGAGGACAGACTGCTGGGAGGAATGAGGAATCAGTGTTGACAGGTACTGGGTTTCTTATCTGGTGAAAACAATGTTCCGAAATTATAATGTGGTAATGGCTACATGACTGTGAATATTCTAAACAGTACTGAAATGTATACCTTAAATGGATGGATTATCGGGTGTCTTAGTTTTATCTCAATAAAGCTGTTAAAAAAAAAAAGCAATGAATGCATATTTCAAGTTACCAATTCCGTACCTTTCGTTGGCTTCCTTGAGTGCAGTTTCAAGCTTCTCTGCCTTCTGGCTTTCTTCCCTTAGACAAAGAAGGAGCTGGCTCACAGTTAATTTCTCAAATTCCAAATAATTCCTGGAGCTTTCTGTAGATTTGTTCCTACATCAAGAACGGAATAAAGATTAAAAGGTTTTCATCAGGAAACACAAATGTCAAAGGGTCTACAAATGTAACTGGAACCAACATAAAGGAACTGCTTCCCAGAACACTCTCCAAATAATTCTCATTTATAGGCCAAACGCAGCTGGTCATGCGACCACAAGGCTCACACTCCTCCACGCTCTCCGGGGAGAGGGGAGGGGGCTCTCCGGTAGGCTCACCTTGCACTGTACGTGCTTCGTCCGAACAGCCAGTGTGCCCACAACATCAGACCCCAGGCCCCCGGGAACAGAGGCGGCCCTGGTTTCCAGTGCCCGGCCTTCCCAGAGAACTAGTCTCAAAGAGGACCAGTCATACAAAGTACACGAACACGCGTGCTGCCTGGCAACATGTGGACTGCCGGCCTTTCTTCAACTTGATATTCTCAAGTCAAGAGAAGAAAGCATTTTTTGTTTTTGATTTCAAATCATTACAGCAGAGAAATGTAGGCACTGTTGGTATGTGAAATATTTTCCTTGATTTTGAAATCTGATTATACCAAGAAGTGGCGGGATGGCAAACAAAACCAGGACCACCGGTACGGCAGCTACACTTCCCGGGTGACCACACTGATGCTCATGTTCAAGGTCACACGTCTCATAAACAGCCGGGATTAAATCCCAGTTCCTGACTCCGAGCTCTGCACCCACCCAGAAATCAATCTCTGACTCCTTAATATACCTTCAAACGAGGTAAGGAAGCTGTTATTAAAGCATTAACTGTGGCTCGGGGCGCCTGCCTGGCTCAGTCAGAAGAGTGTGTGTCTCTTCATCTCGGGGTCATGAGTTCGAGCCCCATGTCAGGTGTAGCCATTACTTAAAAATAAAATCTTAAAAAAAAACAACCACCAACCAACCTGTGGCTTAAAAGAGGAAGTGGTTTTAGCAGGTGGATATAAATGAGGAGAAAGTGGCTTGGAAATTTCAAACAGGGCTTTCTTCCTTCCCACCACTTCCAGAAAAGTCTTTCAATATTAATAAAAACAGTAGGGGGGGAAAGCTGAGGAACTGCTAACTAAGCAAGGGTGCAACTTTCACTTATGCCAACTGCCCTGTTTGATGGAAGAATATTATCTAACACTTATTTTCTCCCTGATGCAAGGGCTTGGGAGCATAATTGGGAAAAAAGAAACTGCCCATTTTCATGTTTTATTAAGTACATTCGTCATGTTAATGTATCACATGACCTCACTGATATGAGGAATTCTTAATCTCAGGAAACAAACTGAGTGTTACTGGAGTGGTTGGGGGTGGGAGGGATGGGGTGGCTGGGTGATAGACATTGGGGAGGGTATGTGCTACGGTGAGCGCTGTGAATTGTGCAAGACTGTTGAATCACAGATCTGTACTTCTGAAACAAATAACGCAACATATTTTAAGAAAAAAGAAAAAGAAGAAGATAACAGGAGAGGAAGAAAAGGGGGGTATGTCAGAGGGGGAGACGAACCATGAGAGATGATGGACTCTGAAAAACAAACTGAGGGTTCTAGAGGGGAGGGGGGTAGGGGGATGGGTTAGCCTGGTGATGGGTATTGAGGAGGGCACGTTCTGCATGGAGCACTGGGTGTTATGAACAAACAATGAATCATGGAACACTGCACCAAAAACTAATGATGTAATATATGGTGATTAACATAACAATAAAAAAATAAAAAAAAAAGTACATTCGTCATGTTAGAGAAAAAAAGGTATTTAAAGCCTATGACAGAAGAGATTCCTAGAGAAATTTTCCGGTAACGATCTCTTTCAAATAGACTGACCCAGCAGTAACCTGCGTACAGGGTTCTGGGTGAAGAGTCTCGAATGCCCAGCTCCTCTGCCATCTCTTCCGCCACGCCCCCTGTCCCCCTGCCCCACAAACCGCCATTTAAGATGTCTGCTTCCTAATGTCTACTTGGAACAGGTCAACTTGAGACTCCACCGGTAAGACTTCTGGCCCCTGGGTAAGACAGTGACTCAGAGCACTCCCAGTCCTCACTAGAGGAGATTACTCAGGATCAGTCACCTGGGCTTATCCTTGGGAATGAGCAGGGAAGACAAAATGATAACATCCCACTTATCGGGCCGGACAGCCCGGGCCAGGTCAAACTCTACCGGTAAACAAATTAGCAAGCCTGAGTCTTTTGATGAGGAACAAGTTTGTCTTCACTTCTCATCTTATGGGAGATGAGACACCTCTAAACAGAGTGGGGAGGGTTGAGTTTGCCTACAGAGGCGCCACATGCTGTTTTTATTCTCTGCTAGCCTGGGCTACAACACTAAATCCCATTCAAACCGGACATTCTTAAAAGGTTCTGGCTTAAGTTAGTAAGAATCGACTTTTGCAGCACAGGATGTTTGACCTCCCTGCAGCGAGCTGCAAGTGACAAGACTGCCCGAGGGGTGTCCTCCGCCAGCCCCAGCCCGTCTTCACATACGTGCCAATGGAATCAATTCTTGCGGGCCCAGGACTCGTCCTGATTTCTCTCACCGCCACATCTGCTTCTCCTTCCTGTAAAGGCAGAAATGAAAGGGCTTTACCATGATAATGTCCGCAAGACAAATTCTTTATCAAAAGAGAAAAAGGGGCGCCTGAGTGGCTCAGTCGTTGAGTGTCTGCCTTCCGCTCAGTTCATGGTCCCAGGGTCCTGGGATCGAGCCCCGCATCAGGTTCCTGCTCAGCGGGGAGTCTGCTTCTCCCTCTCCCACGCCCCCTGCGTGTGTTCCCTCTCTTGCTGTGTCTCTCTCTGTCAAATAAATAAATAAAATCTTTAAAAAAGAGAGAGAGAAAAAGGCAGTAAGATCGAGAATCTGGATGACCTGCAACCCAAGGAAGCTACTGACATTTAAATGTGAGATGTTTCAATGAGGTCACTGAAATGGAATGGGAATTTAGCCTTCCCTCACCCTGCGTACCCTGTCAGGATTATAAATATCTAGGCCAAGGCGTGAAGATTGGTCTCTCATCAGCCAACCTGACCCCGAACACATGAAAACTTATCTCCTCCTTCTCCTTGGCAGCTCATTCCCTTCTCTCCCAAGTTAAGGTCACATGGAGCTAATGACACCTCCACACACCTTCCCTGCACAGGCCTTTAAAATGCAAAACGTCAGAACTTGCTGAAGCAATGCTGAAAAAGAGGCTGCTTTCTGTAGAGCTCACAAAGCACAAAGTTGGCTCCTAGCAGAAATTTGTACACATCATGGGCCATTTAAGGGAACAAGAAGTCCAAAACCAGTTAAATGATATGAAAGACATTAATATTCCAATGAGCTAGCGGGAAAATCTTCCAAAAACGCATGGACAAAGATGGTTCTAGATAATTCTGATGATGTACATTTTTCCTAAATCTTGGGCAGTGTTTTCCAGTTCACAGAAGCAAGGCAAGAAAAGCATGTTTACACTAAAAATAACTGTCACTCACTGGATCAGTGAAGGAGCGGATTATGTTAACCATTCGCCCCAAAGGAAGAAGCCTCTTTTGGAAACTTCTCATACGCTCCTTGGCCTTCCTGAATTTTGCCAGGTATTTGCAGAAGGTGAAAGCTGTTTGATCAAACCTGCGTTTCATGATCTTTGGTCATCTGCAGAAAGGGTACTCTGGCAAATTGTGCTTTCCATTTGGTATTTTAATTCTCCTGATTTCGGCTGCTATGAATGCACCCAAAGATTTATTAGGGAGGATAGATGGCAAAGTTACTACTTTGCCATTTCCCCATCCTACTACTCTCTTCAGTGCAGCAAACGTACTGAAAAGTCACACGCAAATAATTCCAACATGCCCAGGAGTTCAGCTTTTTACAAGCTCCCCACGCATTGTCTATAAGGTCCATTTTCCTCTCTCAGAAACACTATCTCTTTTCCTGTGTCAGATGTACGGTCTGACGAAGCTAAAATGCCAGTGTGTATCACAGAGGATCTTATCCTTGTGTGTTTTTCTCCCTCACTATTCAGTGTCTTTTAGCAGTGACGAAGGAGAGGTCCCTCTGGGCTCATCTACCTGCCCTGCTCTTGAGCAGGACCGCCCGCACACCCAGATATGGCCCCAACAGATGCTCCTCATGTGCTCAGGAACAGGCCGGCACACGCTACTTCACGGAGCTCACTTCATTTTCAGTTCCACATAAACGTGTCAGACACCGGGGGCTTCACACTCAGCTCCTGGAGGTGCCCAGGCAGCTGCTGTTAGACGTGGGGGCAAAGCCAAGGTCAACCCTCAACCACAACCCCAGCGTCTCTGCCCTTTCTTTTCTTCACTGCCCAACCAAGGTTCCTTGTAAGGCTTGTCTGAAAAGAGGGTTCTATTATTAAAAAGTGTTTTAAAGCCATCAGTTTACCTCATCTGCTCATGAGTCTGCTCACCTAAGTGCAGTGCTGGACACAGCTAAGGACCTGGTCTGAAAAAGTTTACGTTTCTGTTTTGGTTTTTTAGATCACAAAATGTCTGTTTTGTCAGTACCTATGGGAAGGGGGGAAAAAAAAACCCTATCTCTTTTGTCATAAAAGGTAATCAATAGTCTTCCATTTCAACCATGACAACCCTCATGAGTATTATACATATATACATATAAATTTTTTTTTTTTTTTTTGAGAGCGAGACAGAGAGCGAGCGCGGGGTAGGAGCAGAGGGAGAGAGAGAATCCCAAGCAGGCTCCATGCTCCAAGCAGGATCTCACGACCCTGAGATCGTGACCTGAGCTGAAATCAAGAGTCAGACACTCAAGCGCCCCTAGGATTATGTCATACTTAAAAACAAGAGCCAATTTATCTTGATGATATTGATGCTGAAACTCCCCTCCCCCCCCACCCCCCAGTTTGGCTTCCGTGTGTTGAAAAGACGTGGTAATCTAGGTGTCTAGGTGAGGTTTTGTAATTTGCTTAAAACTAAATCAAAACCAGGACACTCACAGCTATCCTGATTTCAACAAAGGAGTCTTCAGAGGGGCCGCCTGAGTTCAGCTTGAGCTGGAGTTCTGACACAATCCCCAGCAGATCTGCCTTTTCAGCTTGGAGATAGGCCACCTGGGTCTTCAGCTGTTCCAGTTCCTGGTCTGCTTCTGCCCTGGGGACTTTGGGGTCCCCAGTGGGGTCCTGGAACTGACGAGAAACAAGGTGAATCAGTGAGCCAAACTAACACCTGGTCATCAAACCCAAGTGTCCCCACACCCACGCAAGGCAGCTATGCTTTATGGTAGAAAAATCTAGGTTTCTCTTGGAGATATATTTTGATGTAACACTTCAAATGGAAGATTTTACATTATTTTATTATATTCAAACCATAGAAACTTAAAATAACCTCATGACAAGAAAGAAAGCCTTCCTCAGCACATGGGATAATCTGATATGAATATAACCAATCAGACTTTGACAGTGGTAGACTGGTAAATTGTCATCCAAAACCTCAGAAAATAGGGACAAAAAGCTCGCCTTTTTTTTTCCCTCCCACAAAGGCAGACGTACCCTTACTCTCCCCATACTTGTCATGTACTATCTGAAGCCAAAGCACCAAGACATTTCATTACTTGATATGTGAATGGCAAAGGACAATGGAAAGTCCAAAATTCTCTCAGGCATGCAGGCTGGTGGCTGTTAAAATCTATGTTGGTCTTTTTAGGTTTGCTAAAAGTAAGCCCAGGGAGAAATAAGAAAACTGAAAATTCAGAGGCTGCTACTAAAGGTAAAAAAAAAATTAAATTTCAGCCTATATAAACACGAAGAATAAATATTTCTATTTCACTAATACCAAGTACGTGTTTGCGTTCCTCTTGTTACAATTACTGCACCTGACAAAGTTGTAGGAGAAAGGACCTGTTAAGATGCGGTGTTTTCATTTGGGAGCAGAGAAAATAGATTCCAGTCCACACCCTGCTAATCCCTGGTTACGATGCCCTGAGCAGATTTCGCTTAACGTCCTAGCCTCGGTTTTCTCAGGTTAGAAAGGGAAATGTGGTCCCTCGTGGTCTCTGTGGTGCCTTCCAGCCATGACCTACGAGGCCTCTTCGATTTCCTCCTCAGGAAAACTTCATTGCTTTTACGGGCCTGGTGCCACCAGAAATATATACTTGAGATTTTCAGAGAATTACAACACAATTCCCTCTCTCTCTCTCTCTCTCTCTCTCTCACACACACACACACACACACACAAACATGCACACATGCACACCCATCTCTGTGATAGATTTCCTAAGGAACCAGAAACAGACCCAAAGGCTGTTAGTAGAACCAAAAAGCATCAGAAAGGACACGCATAAACTAGCTTGTCCATCACGAAATATTAAAACCTGGAGGGAAAGGTATTAACATGCAGCATGGGAGTGTCTCTCGCACCAGTGAGATCATGCTCTTCCTTCACTTGGGAGCGTTCCCTTGCCAGAAAACGACCACAGGCCTGAGAGAAAAGAACTCATTGTGAAGCTGAGGAGTTAGGTGTGTAGGGAAAGGTTATCAGCCTGGGCATCCTCTCTTGGTGATGACTCATCCCAAAGAAACGTAACTGTGAAAGGGGTGGAGACAGTGAACGGAGAGGCACTGCTTAGCCTGGAACTAGGAAGCAAGCAGGTAAGGGCCAGGCCACGCTCTATCCGGAATCTTCACATTTTCCTGCTGGACCCCTCTGAGGACATTTTATAGAATTGCTGTTTTTGTTTTTTTTTTAAGAGAGAGTGAGCATGTTAGGGGGGACGGGGAGGGGCAGAGGGAGGGAGAGAATCCTAAGCAGGCTCCACACCCACTGCAGAGCCGATGTGGGGCTCGATCGCACGACCTCGAGATCATGACCTGAGCGGAAATCCAGAGTCAGACGCCCAACTGACTGACCACTCGGGCACCGCAGAATGGATTTTTAAAACCACCTTGGCATAAGAGTAGGAAACAGAGTTTTAAGCAAGTGTCTGAGGATGAGGGATATAAGGCCATGATCCTAGAATCTCAGACTTGTCAGGTTAATTTTCTCTTTTGCCAGGGTGAGGATCTCTTCACTATCCTCGGGAAATTCCGAATCGACTTATTTGGCCATAAAACACCTCACAAGATAACATTTTAAATATCTCTTCATTTTACTACCAACTCTTTCCATTCGCTTCCTGGACTAGAACTCACACGTTTTATTTATGATCAATCTCAACTCCGTGATTTGTTACTGTCTTTCATCCCTTTCAAGGGCCCGCCATTGACCGTCATGCAACACAACGGCTCTCCTTGTGTACTTGTATGTCTCCATCTTGCTGTCCCGGAAGTCCACCCAGACTACCATGCATTTTATAATCCTAGAAGAAACATCCAGCTAATGATCTCTGCCTAGCAATCTGTACCATTAAAAGTTAAAAAGTTCTCTCTACAGATAATAATGTATAATTCTGTGAAATTGGACAGAGCCATGAATGCCTCAGCCTCACCCCGAAGATCAGAAGGCAGATCTCCAAAAGAAATTCCCTATTCTCTTTCGTTGTGTGGCACAGAACACATGAGAGGCCCTGGTGGCTGGAGGGATTCCCTGGAGAGACTGCAGCAAGGATGGGTCAGCAAGAGTCAGAAAAGTCAGAAGCTGTGAGAGCTTCAAGTCAGGAAGAAGACAGCCTAAGTTTTACAAATCACCTCAACCGGTCCATAGAATAAAAATGAAAGAAGAGGCAGGGAGGCAATAGGGAGGCCTGGGAGGCACATTTTTGGGGGAGAAAGCTGATGACCAAGGGTTTTAAAGAGCCATAAATGTCTCTTTGTCCAACTATCCATGTCCTCTGTCCCAAGGACTCTCTTCTGAGTCCTGCTTATAGCCTGTTTCTGCATTGAAAGAAGCTGTCCAGAACTCCAACTTCTGTTCTCAATTTCTTCTAATACTTTTTAGGAAAACGTATACATAGAATATTTCAAGCAGACAAACTGCTTCTGGAAGCTTCTTTCTAGGCTTCAATGTGATAGGCCCCAACAGGCTGATGCCAACTGTCAGCTCACATCCCAAAAGCCATAGGAGGAAAACAGTGTGAGATATTTTCTGGGGCACCTGAGTGGCCCAGTCTGTTAAGCACCTGACTTCGGCTCTGGTCATGATCTTGGGGTTCTGGGATCGAGCCCCATGTTGGGCTCTATGCTCAGCGGGGAGTCTGCTTATCCCTCTGCCCCTCCCCCCAGCTTGTACACTCTCTCTCTCTCAGATAAATGAAATCTTTTTAAAAAAAAAGACATTTTCCTACAGAGAGTAGAAACTTATTCATATATCCTAGGTGATAATTTCTTCAGAGTATTCTACCTTGCAAATATTTAGATACTGAGAGATTTCCCTCAAAGAAGTGACTTAATGTTCTTTGAACTGTAAGACAAATTGAAGCATCAGATGTGATAAATCTAATCAACAACAAATTATTTCCCACACAAATGTAAGTTTATTAAAGCAGAATGTTCACACTGTCCCATGAGCAGGGATTGATGAGTAAAGCACTGACATAAACCACAATACAGTTCTCTAAACAACTTTTCATTCTTTAGGTTATTCCATATCGTCCCCTTTTTGTTATTTTCTTTCCCTTATCTTTCTTTCTTTGCATACTTTACCCAAGAAATCAGAGATAGCAGGGTTCAAGGTATCTCAAGAAGCATCTCTGATGTCTGGGATTCTATCCTCCCTGAATCGAACCAGTGCTCCACCCTTCACGGGGCTGCTAAGTTCCAGGTTGGGAAGACAATGAACAGCAGATGTCCATCCTAACGAACAATATCCAGTGAGCCTCAGAATATGGACGGATGCTTCAAATGTGTTTTGATACATATTTTCTCACTAACATCTTTGGCACCCACTCTTGGCCATGAGCACATTTCTCAGGTTCTTTGGGTCAATGAAAATGTGGCAACTTGACAGCCTCCTATCACAACATGACATGTATTGTGCCATTTTTCAAAAGTAGATATAAAATGTAAAGTGAGGTAGTTCTATTTTAGACTTAGGAAAAGACTACTGATCAGTAAGTAAAACTTTGGAGTAATAGATTTTTTAATGTAATTTTATATCAAAGACATAAACTAAAAACTAACACTTGGATGGCTCTAGGCAGAGGTTCTGCTGCACCATCTATAATACAAAATACTGATTTATAACTGCAACCTTCTTTTGACTATAATCAATATGGTCCAAACTGTACAAATTTCCTTCCCCCAACAGAGACTGTACATGACCCTTGAAATTGCAACCAATCTCCTCAGCAAGAACAGTTCTTTCAAGATGATGCAAAATACTCATCTAGCCAGAACCGTGAAAGGTTTTGACCTAGAAGTCTAGACAAGGAAGAGTCCACTCTAAACATTAATAAAATAAAATCACAGCTTATCAGTCTGCTCACCTCAAGGGACTTTTCTGTTTTCCCTTTTAGTTTTTCAAGTTCTTCCTTCAATTTTTCATTTTCATGACTCAAAGCCATGAGGCGCTCCTTGGCTTCTTTGCTCTGTATCTCAAAAAAAAGGCGTTCTTCCTTCTGTTTCTCTGTCCAGGCTGAAAGCTCTTCAAATCGCCCTTTCATCGCCTGATTATTTAGCTTCATGGCTTCTGTACGGGGTTCAGAGTGAGAGTGTCACATATCAGACTCGATCTGATGAATCCAACCTCGAAGACCACCCTCACCACGTGGCTCCAAATCCAAAGAAGCCATGCTTGGCCTGGGCCCCAGGGTTGGCAGGAAATGTAGCAAGGTGAGTGGTTTTTGCTTCCAGACAGGACTCGGGGGCCTAATGTCATTTCTAGTCCTCCAAAGACTCCAGAAAATAAAACTAGTTTGGGTCCCTCCACTAAGGCACACAAGCTAGAGGACTAATTCAAACACCGGTCCTGCCAGAAGCCATGGCCTGAGACCCCAGAATGCTTTCTGTGAGCAAGGTCATATTGAGGACTAACTCCGTAATTCTTCCTGTTTCTTTCTAAAGGGACTACATGTCATTATGCCATTTCCCTGGGGTACGTAAGTACCTTTTATTCTTACCTGTATCCCCAAAGTAAACAATGGAAACAATGTTAGCCTCACCAAAAGCTAAACTCTGTGCTCTTTCTCCTGCTAGTGAAACAGAGAGAAGGGAATGCCAACAAGCCTTTTGACAAAGAGATGCCATTCATGAAGGCCCAGCGTGAATGAAGAAATATGGCGGCCAGGGGCTGCTCACCTTTGAGCTGATGGTTCTCAATCAAGAGCTCCTTCATCTGCTGCAGCAGCTCCTCTGGAGTGAATGTGTCCAGGTTTGGGTGAGCCAGGTTGGGGGGTCCATTTCCTGTGGTTTCACTGGGGCTGTCCCCCTTTTCAGTCAGGCAGCTAAGCGGTTGGTGGGACATGGCAGCAGGACCTAGGGAAACATCACAAACTGAAGAGAGAGAGGTCTTCCCGCTGCGATGGGTCCCCATGAGTCCCATAAATCCATGGGCAACTGCTAGTGAGTATTCCAAAAGTTGCCTCCTTCCTCTCCAATTGTATTTTGGACATTTTTGGTTCTTCCCTTTAAAGAAAAAAGGTATATGCTAGCTTCAGCGTGTATGTGTGTGCGCGTGCGTCTGTGTATGTGGGTGCGGTGAGGACCTGCAGGACGGAAGAGGAAGAGAAGAGCACGAGATCATGAGAATCGGGAATCCTAACAGGAATTCCAAGTTCCCAAAAATATATTTGTAGACATGGGTAAAGTATCATTAAATTGGTTTTCCTATGCAAATCTTTCAAGCTCAAATCTTTTTGTTTTGGGTGAATTGCACAAAAAGCTGTTAAAAAAATCTCCATATTTTATCTCTTGAATTTTTGGCTACGAGGAAAGGGAGAACGAACATATTTTGGATGCTTACTATGTGCTGAATCACTGCACCAGAATGTCAGTTTCTAATCCTCGCTAAAACCCAAATGGATGGCTACTTTACAGGAGACGGAGCTGAGTTCCCAGCAGTGCTACAGCTTGGCCAAGGTCACTTCATAAGAGGTGCAACCGAGTATTAACAACACCAAAACCCAGCCCTGTAATACAATAAAGATGCTACTGAATATTTAGGCTTCAATATCCAATAATTCTGTAAGGCATCCTAAAAAGACTAAGAGATCTTGCTCACTTATTGCATATTCTGAGAATATTTTAAGCATACCACCACTTTATTTTGTAAGGGGTCAATGTGGACATAAATAAGATAGACAAGTGTACCCCAAATCCATCTATATATGCCCTACCACCTGGGCAAACATAGGAATCTCTTGTAACAACTGGCAACATGCTACAGGCAAACATTTTCTTTTTTGCACTTCGTGAAGATGATGACAAGCCTTGTCATGGAAGATGAAGAAGGATAAGTGCACTCTCTCTGATACATCACCGTATCATTAACACCTAGGAGTGCTCTTGGTGACCATATATTAAAATGCGACCGAACACACAGGGTGTGGTGCAGTGCTTCTTCCCCACCCCCAGCTGGAAGCAAAGCTTGGGGGTTCTGTGGAGATGCCCTGGACCCAAGAGCCTGGTGACCTGCTTTTGGTCTCAAGGAACCTGTAGGCCACGAGAGATAGTACCATGACAGGACAGCAGGCTCCGGCTTCTCCCCTGAGCAGCCACCTTAAGGAGAGGCAGTCTCATGGAACGCTTTAATGAGGATGGCAATTTATGAAGTGAAAAACACTGACGAGGCATACCATCCAACTGGGAGCCTTTGGAAGGTATCTACGTTTTACATATCCTAATGCATTTAGAAAAGAGGTATAATGCTCTTAGTATTCAGCGACTAGAAGAGACTGCTTTTGCTTTCCCCAATAAAATAATCTGGATAAAATAATTTAGACAAGAACAATTTGGAGAAATCCAGTTTCTGGTTTTCCATAACATTCATTTTCACACAGTATGATGTTGGAGTTAACATTTCCTAACATGGGTTTTTACCAAATAACAGGAATACTAAAGAGACCCAAAGATAAAATCCTTGCAATGTGCCCCAAAGTTTATAGCAGCAATGTCCACAATAACCAAAATATGGAAAGAGCCCAGATGTCCATCGACAGATGAATAGATAAAGAAGATGTGGTTTATATGCGATGGAATATTACTCAGCCAGGAAAAAAAGAGAAATCTTGCCATTTGCAATGACGTGGATAGAACTAGAGGGTATTAAGCTAAGCGAAACAAATCAGTCACAGAAAGACAAATACCACATGATTTCACTCATACGTGGAATTTCAGAAACAAAACAGATGAACACAGGGGAAGGGAAGAAAAAATAAAATAAAAACAGAGAGGGAGGCAAACCATAAGAGACTCTTAACTCTAGGGAACAAACTGAGGGTTGCTGGAGCGGAGGTGGGTGGGGGGATGGGGTAACTGGGGGATGGGCTTGAAGGAGGGCACTTGATAGAATGAGCACTGGGTGTTCTTTTTTAAAAATTTTATTTATCTGAGATAGAGCACAAGTGGAGGGGCAGAGGGAAAAGGAGAAGCAGGCTCCCCGCTGAGCAGGGAGCCCGACATGGGGCTCGATCCCAGGACCCTGAGATCATGACCTGAGCCGAAGGCAGACGCTTAACGACTGAGCCACCCAGGCGGCCCAGCACTGGGTGTTCTATGCAACTGCTGAATCACTAAATTCTATCCCTGAAACTAATAATACACTATATGTTAACTAAATTAAATTTAAATAAAAAATTTTAAAAATCCTCGCCAATATGTATCATTTACTTGTCAACGTTCAATCTGCTGAGGCATTCAGTGATTATACTAGACTTTGCAAAAGTCAATGGAAACATTCAACAGATGTTTTTTTAAAAAAGTTCCTAAGCCGTTCTCTAGAGATGTGCTTAGTTCCATTTTATTATGTACACCTTTCTCCTTAATGGTTTTTCCAAGAGAGAGGAAAGGGGAGAGAAGAGGAAAGTGCAGGGGAGGGCAGGCAAGGGGAGGGGAGAAAAAAGATTTTCTCTTGAAAATTATTCAGGTATTTTTCCTCTTCAACTTTCCTTTACGCCCCCTTTAGACACAGCCACAACAGCTGTTATATCAGAGCCTCTAACTGTTTCAGGTTGCCCAGATTTTAGGAGGACACGCGGGGGAAACGCAAGGTTGTGCTAAGGGGGACAGTAGACAAAACACTGGGGACCTTAACCAGCTGTGTGACTCTTATGATAATTTACTGACTTGTCTAGCAAACGATGATCATTACATTCGCTTTCGGCTCAAAAACCCATGAAAAGTATTCCTGAGTTTCTAGGAAGGTCCAACCCCACCATCCAACACACACAGCCCAGCACCACCATGGCCATGCCCCCGCATGTATTATATGCCTGTCTTAATTATAGCAAACACTTCATTATCTAGCATTGTTAGGAAAAATTATTTGGTAATTCAAATGTCATAGGAAATAAGAAGTTAGTGTGCATGCCAAACATAATGTAATGTAATGTAAATACTTATTACCAACTTTTTACCAAAGGCAATTTAATTGATTTTTGGTGACCCAAAGAGCAGCCTGTGATTTTAGGTATTTTGGGGGGCATCATTATGAGTTATGAGTACAGTGCTTCTGTGAAATGTCTATTGGTAGAGTACCCGTTAGGGAAAGCTGAATTTTCTAAATCTTTAACATCACCTTAAGCTACTTTCAATTGAACAAACACAGAGATGCATTATAAATCCTTGCACATATCTTCAAAGGTTATAGAAACTGGAACTAAGCCATTTATTCCAAGGTTCTATCTGGTAACATAATTTCTTTTTTCCTTTTTCTTTTTTAACTGACAGAATTTCTCATAACCTGGATCTGAAACATGTCATTTTTTTTCTTTTTCTTTTTTAAATGTAAGCTCTATGTCCAACATGGGGCTTGAACTCATCGCCCCAAGATCAAGAGTCACATACTCTACCAACTGAGCCAGCCAGGCACCCTTGAAACATGTCATTTCTAAGCAAAGGTGATATTTAACTACAGAGGGTGAATTAATTTAGCACAGGATTTATCAAGACTTCACCAATGAGGAAGAAGGCAAACTACCTGGAAGAATCGCCTCGATTTTATTCCCAGATCTATTTGAATTCTTAAATATATTATCATTTTTAATTCCAGACGTCAAGTAATTATATCAATGACTTGACTTTGTGGGTGTGGGCATGAGCTTAAATCTCATTCCTGAATTGGCTTTACAAATGATCCAGTCCAACTTCTTATTCAATGCAAGAATATCTTATCTGGTTTCCATGGAAGATGGTCAACCCCACCAGGCTTGAAAGGCTTCAATGACAGAAAATATGAGCAATAACTTTAGCAGGCAACACAGCCCATTCTGTTCCGGGGCCATTCCCATCATTAGAAAGTCATTCTGTATTGAACAGAAGTCTGCCTTATACTGACTTCCACCCACTAGACATTGGACCAATGAGCATCATGCAGAGTAAGTCCAAGGCCCTTACCCTGGTATGTTCCAAACTGGCTTAATAAGCATTCACAGGTTCAATCCCCACATGAATAAATTAATTTTAAACAGTAAAAACCTATTTCTTGATCAGAGACCATAGGTGGCTATTGGCAAATTCTGGTTTGGGATCACGAGGGGGCGCTGAGTATGAATCCAAGATTACATCAACTAAAACCATCATCATCCTGGAAAAAGAACTCAACGTCTGTATCCTATGAAGGGGGAAAAAGAAGCTTTGCTTTTAATGCCAGAAATGGTATTCTGATTTTGTAATCTGCTAACCTACAGGAAATGGAAATGGATTTACCCTTACCACGTAAGGCAAGAGCCTGGGAGCGTCTGGATTCTCTCTATTGAGTCTGAAAAGTCACTAAGTTGCTGGTACTTCTCCCTCCTCCCCATCCCTGCCGGCTTAGGTCAGGCCCTCCTTGTCTTGTCTCAATCACAGCAGTGATGCCCTCCACGGAGTACAGGATTTTTGTCTATTCTGTGCACCACTGTGTCCCTGGCACCAAGAACGCTTGCTGAAGAGTCTCCTACGCGGTCTGGCTCGTCTCTTTCTACTGCAGTCCTCCTACCACTACGGTTTCTTTCCTGGCATGAGGTCACCCTCCTGCTGAAAACCCTTCCCATACAAGGCAGAGTTCCAGCTCCCAAATGAGAAAAACGTGGGCTTTCAGAGTCTGGCCCCCACTTACCCACCTGTATCACCTCCTCTCGCCACGCCACTCGCATGCAGGGCACATCAAAGAGCTCACGGTTCCCCACTTTCTTCTGCTCCTCTGCTCTTCTCTCTCTTCTCCCCCTCTGCACAAAATGTCTGGCCCCACGTTTGCCCTGTCAAATACCCACCAGACAGCTCCACGTCCGGCTGAGACAGATGGCCTGTGTAAAACAAACTCTTCTTTCCTCTCTGTACCCACTCTCTGCAAAGTCCTATAATCCCATTCCAGTCTATCTTCCAACAAACTTCAGTGAAGGTCTCTATTTTATTCTTGTAAGCGGCACACAGCAGGCTCTCAGTAAATGTTCATTGAAATGAAATGAAAATACAGTGTAACAAGGTATTTTAAGGTCTAGCACTTGTAGAACACTTTCTGCTCTGTAGTGACAAACCCAGCATGCTAGTATTACGAGTTTTTCTACAACGCTATTGCACTCATTCCCAGATTCTTGAGCTCAACTTCTAAAACTTGCTTTGAAAATTAGTACCGTTTCTTCTATCATCCCCAAAAGTATCTATCTGGGTATCGTTTCATAACACACATTCTATTATTTCATCCTCATATACATGTCAAAATGAAAACTTTCAAAATAGTATTTTCCTCTGAATGAAACAGACTTTACTTCTTAAGAACAGAGTTTAATTTCTCCTTTTCATTTGGATTTACTAATCCCACTGATTCCAAAGAACATATCAAACAGTCTAAGTCTCTATAAAATTCAGAAAAAGCAGGGCTTGGAGAAGAAAATACCCATACATCCTCATGTAAGGGAGAGGGTTCTGTAGGAAGATGATACAATGGTCAATTCCTTTCAAGAACAAAGTTTGTTTTTGTTTTTTGTAGGGTTTAGTTGGATCCCATAGCATAACATGCAACCTGAGCTCAGTTACAAAAAAAGACACTACTTTTATAATGTTGTACAAAATATACAAAGAACCACTAGAAGTGGCCCAGTAGAAAAACAGATCAGTGACTCGGAAGATTCCAGTCCCTGTCCTCTCTCTCTAGGCCACATTTAAATTTCACTTACCTTGTCCATTCCAGGGCAGATCCTGGCCTTAGCCTCTGTTCCAGGATCTCTCCAGCCCAGTACAAACTGGGCACATCCTGGGAGGTAGCCAGGGTTCCCTAGCTCTTTTCTCCCCAGGCAAAGAGCAGGGGGAGGGGTTGGTTCTTGTGTTAATAGTGCTGCCCTGCTTAACCAGATCTGAGGCTTTTGAGGTCCCACCACCACCTTACTGGTCTACAGGTTCTGTTTTCCATTTCATCCTCCAACAGTTCTGGGGCATACATTTCCATACGACAGTTTACCTGGAGGAGGAGGCTAGACCAGAATCTGGGTTTCGTTTTCTCTTAGAGATGCTGATTGTGCATTCAGCTTACACATTTCCGACAGTAAAGACAACTCCTCTGGGGTTCTCAGCCTCATCGAGTATTCGCCATCTATGTATGTATATACACACGAACACATACACACATGCTTTCCCGGACCCAACGGTTTATGAAGATTCCTTTCAGCTGTTCAGGAGTCCCAGCGCCTTAGAGAGAGGTCACCTGTTCCTCAGTGTTCCTGGGCCACCTCATAAAGCTGGAGTAGTTTTTGTTTCTTAAAGGTATACCCGTGACCACTTCCCATATAATGAGGAACTGGCTGTATAATCATTCCCAACCTGCAGGAAGATGTCACCCTCAAACCACCTCCGTGACCTACAGAGGAAGTCAGCTGCGGCCAGTCGGGCTGGTAAAAAAGGGGGGAGGGCGCTTTGGGATGGCCGCCCCTCTCCCCTTTCCCACCAGATCAGGCTCTGCCCAGGCCTGGAAACCCTGCCGGAGGAGAGGACGCCCCATCCCTCGCCACCCACACCTCGACAGGCTCCGGGTCGCAGGGAAGGCGGCCGCGGGAACAGCTTCCAAGGCGGAAAGGGAGCCGCCGCCTCGCCGAGCCCCTGCCCATCCCCTGCCCCCGCTCACCCCGCGCCCGCGCTCCGGCCTCTCTCGGGGTCACTGCTTCCTCCGCATCGTGCCCGCTGGGGGAGGGCTCCGGACCCGGATGCAGACACTGACCAGGGGACCGGCCGGGGGCAGCTGCGCGGGCTCGGGGAGCCTCCGGCGGACTTGCGGCCTCACGACCCCGCCCAGCGCCGCTCAGCTGACCGCCGCGCCGGCCTCCCCGCCCCCGCCGGGAATTTCCCGGGCCCCGCCCCGCAACCGCGCCCCCACAGGCCCCGCCCCCTCCCCCGAGCGCGCGCCTCCAGCCGGCAGTCCCGCAGTCCCGCCGCGTAGCTCGCGCTGGCAGAGGCCCCAGCCTGGAAAATGAGGGCTACGTGGGTCTGTGAACGGCCGTGACCGGCGGCGCTCACTTAAATACATTCTTAATCAAAGGAGTGTGCGGAGTCGGTCTCCTCTGCGGGGGTCCCTTTAGAAGGCCGGAGCCGCAGGGGTTCGCTGAGCCCACGGAAAGAGGAGTACGGTCGGAGGCATCCTTTGACCCAACCCTCGATCTCTGTAAAGTCTTACATCTAGATACAGTTAACTGAGCGTGCATGGCTTTCCATCCGACTTTGCCCTTAAAATAGACCTTTGATTACATAAAGCCGCGGGCCCCTGGGTGGCTCAGTCGTTAAGCGTCTGCCTTTGGCTCAGGTCGTGATCGCAGGGTCCTGGGATCGAGCCCCACATCGGGCTCCCAGCTCGGCGGGAAGCCTGCTTCTCCCTCTCCCTCTCCCTCTCCCCCTGCTTGTGTTCCCTCTCTCGCTGTGTCTCTCTGTCAAATAAGTAAAATCTTAAAAAAAAAAAAAAAAGAAAAAGAAAACAAAAAAACCCCCATAAAGCCTGCAGGATGCTTCTTGGGTTCTTTGTTCCCACGGAGGAGGCCAATGGTGGACGCCTGGATAGTTCAAGGGCCCCAGGCCCGTGGGATTACTGGATTGATTTGGATTGTTTTGGGAAGCAGAAGTATTGATCTACCTGTAACCGGAGGAGGGAAGATGCCTCCGGATTAGATAGAATTAAAAGGGAGGAAACAAGACGAGGAAGAAGCACAATAATTTGCGTCCTAAGCACAGCGAGAAGGGTTGAGCAAGGACGCAGACACAGGACACAGAAGGGAACTGATAGTGAGGTCAAGGTCTGGGCAGGGTCTGGACCAAGGTGGTGCAGCCTGTGCCTGGCACCAGGACCCTATGCAAGACAAGAAAACAGAAATGGAAGAGGGAGAAGGGGCGGAGGGGAGAGGGTCTGAGAGTAAGTTTGTGCCAAAGATCGAAAAGGACTTTCAAAACCAGGCATATACCCTAACCCTGACCCTAACCCCTAACCCCAAGCCCAGCAGAAATCTGGGGTTTTATTCTCTGGAGTCTCTGCAAAATACCCAAACCCTAACCCCTAACCAAGGGAGGGAAAAAAAAAAGGTCTTCATGTGCGGGAAGAACTTGATTTAGTATGAAGACGCTGACGCTGCTCAGCAGGAATACGCAGCACGTGGTTGTGCGTCCAAACTGCCCAGTGGTTGGAAGGCAAGGGGGGGGAAAAAAATCCGAAATCTAAATGGGAAAAGGCGAAGGCGCCCTCTCCTGGCTTCTCGGAAGGATTCAGTTTCACTTTCAAGACCGCCTGCTCCAGTCAGTTTCCCCCTGCCTGGTCTTTTACACCACCCTTGAATTAATCTCTAAAATTGGGCAGAGGGGTAGCAAGTCAGTCCCTGGCCCCACACCAAATTCCCGAGGGTCCCTCCTGAGCCTGTCCGGGGTGCCTAGGGTGAGTCCCACTCCCACTGGGTTTCCTTCTATTTTAAAACATATTAAGGTAAGATAAAATGAGTATAAGAGGATTTGCGGGCGGGGAGATGCGGGAGGAAGGTCGTACACAGGCTGCCCTCAGCGTGGGAGTAGTAAGGTTGGAGGTGAACTTCTGGTAGAGAAAGTGGTCGAGGGAGTTTTCTCAGCAGTCTTGGGAGGGGCCTCTGAAGCATTGCGCAACCCTACCACTTCTTAGCTCCGTGACCTGGTCTTGCAGTACCTCATTCTCTTTCTCTGCAAAATCCAAAATTTCTGAGAACCAAAAGCCTTTCTTAGTTCATTTGGCGGCAAAACCTGATCTCAACCGATGAAGAGGTATTGACATTCTTTAGACCACTTCATGGGATTATTTAGTTCATTGAAGACACATTAATTAGTTTGTATGAGATCCGCGTCGGACACTCTTGGGGAGTTCTGTTATATAAATTACATACTTTGTAATACATTACTGTCTCACCTTTCTAAAATCCAAAAATAATTCTGAATTCTGAAACGGGAGCTTGCTCCACAGGCTTTTAAATAAGGGATCTGGATCTTCAGCCCCTACTGCCTAAGGCCATTGTGAGGATGTAGGGCTGAGATTAGTAAAACTAACCAAGGGGCACAGTGTCCTTGTTGTCGCTCTGCTTCCTAGCCTGACTGGTGGGGTGGTGCCTTTTCCTCTCATACTTCCACGTAGATGGAATCTACGTGTAGATAAAAAGACTAAAATTATAACGCGCTTTTAGCTGTTCACTGATGCGGGTTTGTGGTAGGTGACTGCAAAGCAGCGTGGCAACATATTCAGTGAGATAATTAATTTATTTCATGCTTTCTGTGCTCCTCCCCACTCCCCTCACCCCCTCTGCGTGGAGAAGGCAGTTCATCCTTTTGTGGTTCCTACCTTAAGGGCATTTGCAGGACTCTGGGACAAACAACTTTTCTAAAGGCACTCTACCCCAGGTGTCCTGGAGGGAAGGGGAGAGAGGCGGGGGGGGGGGGGGGGGGGGAGAGGTCTAAAAAAAAAATAAAAAAGATTTTTTTTTTTTAAAAAAAAAAAAAAAAAGGGAAGAAAGTTTTAGTTGAGTCCAAACGAGGACAACTTCCCTGGATACACAATCTTGGCAAAGAGGAGAGTGCTCTGGAGAAAGAAGGTTTGATACAGGGTTATTATATGCTTTTGTTTGTTTGTTTGTTTTTGTTTTTTGTTTTTTGTTTTACATCAAAGGTTACAGTTCCACCATGACATAAGACATTTCAGAAAATTACAAACTTTATCTTGGGTTTTAGTATGTACACAAGGTTGTGGGCTCCAGACGTATGGGAGCTTAGGGAGATTCTTACTCTTATCTCTAGGAATGTTTCTTTTGGGGTATTTGCTAATGAAGCAGATGTAAAAAGTGTGCTCACGGCAGAAATAGTGCCCATGCTCTGAAGTTTGGTTAAATCATTCTGACCTTGGTAAAAGTTAAAAATATAGCTTTCCTGGGCGCCTGGGTGGCTCAGATGGTTAGGCGTCTGCCTTCGGCTCAGGTCATGGTCCCAGGGTCCTGGGATCGAGTCCCGCATTGGGCTCCCTGCTCCTTGGGAGCGTGCTTCTCCCTCTGCCTCTCTCTCTCTCTGTCTTTCATGAATAAATAAATAAAATCTTTAAAAAAATATATAGCTTTCCTGAGATCCCTGGAGCAGAGCCCACAGCATTAAAAGTTGACGTTTTCTTTATTAGGTGGAGGGCTCTTAGGAGGGAAGGAAGCATGACACCTACAAAGTGGGAGAGGGGTAGAGGTTGGTGGTCTCATGAGCATCAAAGAGTTGAGCCTCAGCCCCTTTGCCTATAATGATACTGTGACTGAGAGTCAGGGTGGCCAAAGAAAAAACATTTGTCCGTGTCTCTTGGAGGTTGGTATTGACAAGGAGGAATAGCTTAAAGTTCATGGATTCTAGAGTGAACCTAACAACACGAAGAATTTCTTAAATAATTTTGTTCCTTAAACCGACTTTGGCTTCCTTGTGAAATGATTCTCTGCAGTAAACAAACTTTTTATTTATTTAATCATTCATACTTCCATTCATGTCTGCATGATTGTGGAAAACAAGGAGTATGTAGGCTAGTAACCAATAAGAACATGGCAGTAAGGTGGTCCCAAAACCCTGTGCAATCTTAATATGTTTCCAGTGGAAAATATTTTGTTTTGAGTGTTTGTTTATTGTTCAGTTTATTATTTTTTACTTGATTAAATGCTTTTTTTGTTGTATTAAACCATGTATGTTGCATCTTAACAATAAAGAAAGTCTATGAAAAAAATATATAATAGATCTATCTGTACTATGATTCCATATATATGAGATGTCTGGGAAAAGGAAACAGAGAGACAGCAGACCTGTGGTTACCTGGGGTTGGGAGTGGCTTCGACTGCAAGTGAGTTCAAGGAAATTATGGGGGGGGGGTGATGAAAATATTCTAAAACGGGGTTGTCATTGTCATTGTAAACTCTTACCGGCATAATTAAAATCATCAAGCTTACAATGGGTGAAATTTATAAGGTGTTAATGATACCTCAATAGAGTTGCAAAAACAACACCAAAAAGCACCCTGGAGACTGACGTCAATAATCATGAGGTCTGATGAAGGGTACATCCCTTCTTTTGAGGATGGGTTCCTCGGAAAAGTTCAACGGCATTACCACATGACCCTGCAATTCCTCTCCTAGGCATACATCCCAATGGATTAAAAACAGGGACTCAAACGAGTGTGTGTATTTCCCCTTGGCAATACCTGGCACTGTAGCATCTGCCCGTAGGAGGAGCGGGGTGTGTAGTCGAGGCTTCCATCAGAACAAGGCTCTGGGATGAGAGTCTAACCTGCCACCAGTTTGCACGCCAAGTATCTTGAGTGCCAGGAACAATGACCCTGCTTTATGAAAAGCCAGAGCACTGTGTGTGTGCTCTGTGTGTTATTCCTCTCCTTTGCCTCACAATTGTAAATCTTGAAACAGTAAACTTGTTGGGGAGGACTCAGTGTTTATCTTTTAGGTGATCATCAGTCCTCTGTGAATATTAAAAAAAGAACAGCCTAGTAATATGACAGCTTATCAGTTACTTCCTGCTCCTGTCCATTATGTACACACAGAAGCTCTCCTAGACTCCTGCACGAGTCAAAGCGGAGCGTAGATTTACACGTTAAATTCTTGTTTCCTTGTTTTGCTATAGAACTGTTAAAAATTCCTGGAGCAAAATGTTCTGTTGAAGTACTTATGAGTCAGAGCCAGTGATTCGGGAGCATAATCACTCCAAGACACCACAGTTCTCCGTCATGGTCTGAAAAGCACTGCCATTGTCTTCCTCGTATGCCTGGTGAGTGGGAAATGGCCTGGGTGTCTCGTTCCTTGCTTCTGATTAAATAATTCATCTGTCACTGTTGAAGTCCATGTGATTTGTCTTTTTTCCATCTCACTTATTCTTTCCCAGAATGAAATTTCTCACTTCTCAGAGTGCAGGGTGGCATAGGGAACACATTCTTGGGCATCAGGCTACCTGGGTCTGACCTGAGAACGCACGAAGGGGCAGAGTTCCTTGGACCTTGGCCTCTGTATAGTGAGTTAGAGAGGCCGGGACAGGTGATCTCTTAGCTTCCTTCCAACCCTTAGAAAGCGGCATTCCTTTTGGTTCTTTATATTTGGTATCCTGTCTTAACAGACGCCAAATTAACTTAATTTCAGTTCAGACTTCTTTTTTCTTATGTTAATCGCGGTTCTCTGGAGAAACAACCAATAGGATACATGTGTGTATGTGTCTATACAATTTTATTTTGATTTTGCAATTTGAACTGTATATATATGATAAAACATTTATTATGAGGAATTGGCTCATGCCAATCTGCGTTCGGCAAGCTGAGGCCCAGGAGAACTGTTGGTATAATTCTATTCCAAAGGCTGGCAGGTTTGAGACCCATGAAGTTGTTGTTTCAGTTAGAGCCTGAAGGCAGGAAAAAACTGATGTCACAGCTCAAGGCAGTCAAGCAGGAAGAATTCCTTCTTATTTGGGGAAGGGTCAGCATCCAGGTCTATTCAGACCTTCAACTGATTGGATGAGACCCACCCACACTGGGGAGAGCAATCTGCTTTATTCTGTCTTATCCATCTAAATGTTAAACTCTTCCCCAAATTCCCTTATGGAAATATCCAGAATAGTGTTTTTCCAAATATCTGGGTACCCCACTGCCCAGTCAGGTTGACACATAAAATTAACTGTCATATTTCTATAGAGGTTGGCTTAATGCTTGGTTAGTTAAATGATCATAAATGATGCTGCGATTTGAAAAGTCATAAGTCCCCTGAGAAAATGTATTCATGCATGGATTCCAAATAGACTGTGATAAACCTGGACGCAAAATCTTAGCTGGATTGCCCATGACCTTTTGTACCCATAAAACCTCACTGTTCCCCCTCAGCAGACTACATTAACCCCTTTCTGGTTTTGTGGACAGAGGTCCTGTTCCCCTTGTTATAGGCCAATAGACAGTTATTAAATTCATAGACATGATAGCCTGCTGAACAGGAAATCAGCTTTTTCTGGGGTTGGTCTCCTCAGATCTTCACAACTGGTTGCCAGGAGCACATTTCTTTCCTAAGCTCCGTGGGTCATTTCTCCAGCTAATAGACCTTTAAATTTTGCAACAAATTACTCCATTGATATTCCAGCCCTCATCCCTTCCTCTTTCTGGTTCCATTGGAAACTGAGGGAAAAAATGACTTGGATTACACAGCAGTCGTTCCAATGTGGAAGTCACATCAAGCAATTCACATAAACCAGTTCTCCCCAAGTTAATGTGATCCAACCCCAGGGAGGCGGGAAAAAGTCCCAGCCAAAATGCACTTCTTGCAGAGACAATTGGATATTCATGGACTATTATGGCAGTGGTGGCCAAGCTTTGCAAAACTGGCTGTGAAAACTCTAAGAGGACGGTCTATTTGTGAGCTTGGAAGTGCTAAGGTATTATTTCCCATTGCCATGATTTCAGAGATCATACATAAATGTAGAGCTTTCCCATTCACTGGGTCTTATTGAAATTCTGGGAAACTGCTTCATTCTGTTTATTCTAGAAAAAAGGGAAGTGTCTCTGTGGATCTTTTTATAAAACAATTCCCTGTCTACCTTGGCTCACATCCTTATGAATTTTTTTATTCACCTTCAGTGCAAAAGCATATTTTAGTTGATTCTGGCTTGGTTGGCTCAAGCGTACCTTGTTTGTCTACGTGTTCATGAAATGTCACTCAATGACTCCTCTCTGCCCCGGGCACCCTTTCTTCCTGCTCTTGTCTCCCACCCTCTGGTTTCCCGCCCTTACCCTCTGTTCGTGCCATCACCCTTTCCCTCTAGAAGGCTGTGTGATATAGCAGTGACACCTGGGTGTGCTTTCAATGCAGGTTGCTACCTTTCTAGAGACCTTTGCATTTAAGATCATTTCTAACATTGTAATAAAAACTTTGTCTCTTAGAGGAGCTCCAGAGATCCATCGGTAGGGGGAGGGGAGAATTTTTTTTTAGGGTTGGGCCCTTCCCAGTAAGCTTGAAATTGGACATATTGGGGACCTCCATCTCAGCTACAAAAACATCACATTTTTGACTCTGTCATAAAAAGGGGGATACATTTGGGAGTTTTTACATAGGTGGAGTGGACCGAATTTCAGGGTGATGAGATGTGATGCGTGAGAAGAGAGCCGTTGAGGACAATGAAAAATTTCTGCCCTGGGTGACCAGATAGATGGGCAGCAGCATTAGCGGGAAGTTGATTAGTCCTGTCTGCGGAATCTGAAGAACCTGCAGGACAGGTAAGTGAAGTTCCTATAAATAGGTGTGTGAAGTACCTGTGGGACAGGTGAGGGATGTACACAACTATCTGGGAAAATGAACCTCAGGAGAGAGATTAGTGTCAAAAGCCGTAGAGCCATCAGAAGGATGGGAGCAGAAAAGTAAGTTTGGAACTTGGAGACTTTAGTCAATCGATTCCTATCGAGTTCAAAAGAATAAAGCAATAATACTAAACTGGCTGTATTCTTTATTTGATTAAATATGCTCATACATGCTAAATAATAAACTCATTATGTAAACATGACTCTCTACAGATTTGGCCATTATATGTAAGCTGCAAGATATAGTTTATATGGTTGGCTATGTATTTCTTGGATCTTAGACCCTAGAGAATTTGAGGAGAAAATTTATTCTAAAGCTAATTCTACATCTATCTCAATATTCAGTTAATAAAAAAATGCTTTCCTCCTTCTCATCCTGGCTCCTTGATGCTGCTTAATGCCTCATTTACTTCTTTTGCCTAATTTTTTGGAGACAAGAGCAGGCAGGTGAGAGACAACCTGTCTCATTGTATTTGCTTGGTGGCTTCGGTTATTTCTAGAATGTCATCCATGGGAGATCTGCAGCTTAGCTTTCATCCCTGGTGCTCATGCTCTCAAGATCAAAAACTTATTTTTCAACATGATTCATCCTACTTAGTGGCTTGTGCTAATTATAGTCGATATTGACTCCATTGCATTTTAAGGGATGTCTTCTCATCATGTTCCTTTCTTGTATTTGTAAATACTGGTTTGCTCATTTCATATTTCCCCTTCATTTATTCCAAGATTTATATCTCTGCTATGGAACTGGAATCCTTCTCTCTTTGGTATGGCATGTAAAGCCATTTGATCCTTCTCAACACTATTTCTAAACTGTCGAATCTTTTTATGATAACTAAGAACCAATTAAAAAATGCCAATAAAATATGACGAGATGGTGGGGCGCCTGGGTGGTTCCGTCAGGTAAGTGCCCGACTTTTGGTTTTGGCTCAGGGCATGATCTCATGGGTCTTGAGATCCAGCCCCACGTCAGGCTCTGCACTCAGCGTGAAGTCTGCTTGAGTTTCTCTCTCTCTCTCCCTCTTCTCCTCCCCCACAGCTCGCTCTCTCTCTGAAATCAATCAATCAATCTTTAAATGAAAGACTAAATGGTGAGTAAGCCTGCCCACACTTTCTGTATATAAATTTGCTAACATGAATTTACCATGGTTTAGTCTTGCTAGGATTTGACTGAAGCTGCTCTGCACGATTGTGCAGGCTACTCATGGCACAGTGGCACTTGGCCATGGGGATGAATGCAGGCTGCCGGGCAGCTGGTACCGTAAGCTCCAAGCCATGCATCTCTCCGGGGAAGCAATTCCTTTTTCTAACTTACACAAAGGCCCTGCATTGATTAGTGAAGTCCTGGATTGGACTTGATCATTTTCTATAGCTTCTCAGCCTATGATACTATCACCAAAGAGGGGGGAGAAGTGCAGACCTTGTCTTCATGCAAGCACACACAGAAAGTCTGGAAGAATAAATAAATCTTGCCTTCAGTTTCCAGCTATATATTCCAGCCATTACAGAGTTCACAGGGCGTGTGCAACCATGGCGGCTCAGCTATGCAATTAGCACCCTGCTCCCATTCTCCCCTGGTGCCAGACCGTACTTGCTCCAATATGGCCAACGTCTTATGGTCAGGAGGAAAGCCCCTTCCCTGTCAGACCTCCTATTTTCTCCTTCCATTACCCATAACCCTTCTGTCCTTTTCTCTCACCCACCCCGCTTCCAGGGTTCTGGCTCCCCTCGTGTTGGTTTGCAGGGATTCCATCTGGTCTTGTCACTGCATGCCCTCTTGTTGATTCTTCACGGGGAAAGGAGCAGGGGTGAGCATAGAGAAGGGATGGGAGCAGCAGTGTCCCGATTGTCTCTTATGTTCTCCCCTGTGTCAGAGAGGCTAGAGGTCTGGGAACTCTATTTCTGAGACTCCCTTGTCACGAGGCTTCAGGAGGGGGCTTAGAAGGTGCGTCTGTGCCGGGCTGGCAAAGTTGTGGATGCACCAAATGCAGGGGCTTCAACAGATGGATTTGCAGTCCCTTTCACATTCCTTTGATGGTTCTCAGTCCCCAGGTTGTGGACATCGGTGACCACTGACAGTGGTTTTCTGCATTTTGCTGACCTCTGGGGGGCAGCCGCAACTTCCTGACTTCTGGACCACAGCTCTGGGAACAAACCTGGAAATGAGGGGTGAACCCCTAATGCTCGTTGTAGGAGACTTTGTAGGGAATTAGAGTTTTACCCATAACTCCCAAATATTAAGAACAACTGCCTTACATTTTAAATATCAGTGAGAGTGACTTTGCAAATGGCATATCAAATAAAGGGCTAGTATCCAAGATCTATAAAGAACTTATCAAACTCAACACCCAAAAAATAAATAATCCAATCAAGAAATGGACAGAGGACATGAACAGACATTTCTCCAAAGAAGACATATACATGGCCAACAGACACATGAAAACGTTCTCCACATCACTTGGCATCAGGGAAATCCAAATCAAAACCTCAGTGAGATATCACCTCACACCAGTCAGAGCGGCTAAAATTAACAAGTCAGGAAATGACAAATGTTGGCAAGGATGTGGAGAAAGGGGAACCCTCCTACACTGTTGGTGGGAATGCAAGCTGGTGCACCTGCTCTGTAAAACAGGTTCCTCAAGAAGTTAAAAATAGAGCTGCCCTATGACCCAGCAATTCCACTACTAGGTATTTACCCCAGAGATACAAATGTAGTGATCTGAAGGGGCACCTGCACCCCAATGTTTATAGCAGCAATGGTTAACCCTTTCTATTTCTGGCTTGGGACACCCCGGTCATCTTGGAGCAGACCTTCTTTGTTCTGGAAAGAGTCATGGGAGTTGCCCCTTTTAGTTCCTGAGCTGCAACGTTTCCGGGGGGAGTGTGCACTAGCATGCTTACTTAATTTTTCCTTAGGCAGGGGCTGGGTCCCTGGCCTAAGGTAGACCCCACGCCTTGACCATAGCTAAAGGTTTCAGGGGGAAAGAGCTTTCAGGGGGAAGGATGCTGACACCAGAAACTTTTCTCTTTGTTGTTTTATCAGGGTACATCATTAATTTTTGATGTAGTGTTCAGTGATTCATTAATTGCATATAATACCCAGTGCTCATTACAACATGTGCCCTCCTTCATACCCATCACCGGGCTACCCCATCCCCCCACCCCCTCCCCTCTGAAACCCTCAGATTGTTTCCCGGAGTCCATAGTCTCTCAGGGTCCATCTCCCCCTCTGATTTCCCCCTCTTCAGTTTTCCCTTCCTTCTCCTAATGTCCTCCCTGCTAGTCCTTATGTTCCACACATGAGTGAAACCATATGATAATTGACTTTCTCTGCTTGACTTGTTTCACTCAGCATAATCCCCTCCAGTCCCATCCATGTCGATGCAAATGGTGGGTATTCATCCTTCCTGATGGCTGAGTAATATTCCATTGTATATATGAACCACATCTTCTTTATCCATTCATCTGTTGAAGGGCATCTCGGCTCCTTCCACAGTTTGGCTGGTGCGGACATTGCTGCTATGAACATCGGGGTGCATGTGTCCCTCCTGAATGCTTTTGACTGAGAACCCTTTTGGGATGTCTAAGATCTTCCTCCCTGCCTGGCTTCTGAACAAACTGAGACATAAGAGAGAAGGGCAGATGGGAAAATTAACATTTTCCTTTATGACTGATTAAGGCTTGGCTGGAGGTCATGGCTTATCTACTGGGGAACTTGGCTCGCTAAGTTTTTATAGACGCATCCACCCAGGCCAGCCCCAGCTACCACACCCTGGGGGCCCTGGAAAAGCAAAGCAGAACTCACGCTCTTGTGGGCAACTCCCTCTGAAGGGGAGGGAATAAATATGCACGGTGATTCCTCCCAAATTTACCACTCAGATAAGTCACCCTGCCTCCCCTGGGTTGAAGTAAATAAATGGGCAGAAAGATCCAGAAGGGTGGCCCCAGTGAGCTCCTTCCTACCTCCCTTCCTGGAGGAAACCCCTGAAATAGGGAAGATGTGTCTCCTTGACATGTATTAGCATGACTAATGGAACAGAGAGAACTAAAACAAAGTCAGCTGGTGGGAAGGTATCCTGGGGTACCTGATTGGGGGGGCTTTCCATGCACAGCGGGTAACTGATGCTGTCACTGCTTCTGTTCCCAAACACACCAGAATCATAGGGGTTCTTGGGGAAAATGGCTGTGGGGTGTGTGTGTGTGTGTGTGTGTGTGTGTGTGTGTGTTACATGGAGTGGTACCTTGGCTCAAGGTAATACTGAGGACACAGGCATCTTGCCTCCTGTGTCCCACATTGTTGGGCTGGCAGCAGCCTCAAATCCTTGGCTTCAAGTCTCTGATGTAGACCTGGTGGCTTTTAGCAGAGATGCCACTGGACTGGCCACCTCTCCTGCCCCTTCTTGGTAAAGTGACACTTCTTGGGATGGATAGCTTTCATGGGAATGTTAGAATGGGCTGTTGGCACTTATAGCTGGGAGCTTACCTACCAAGGGAGGTAGGAAGGAGCTCACTGGGGCCACCCTTCTGTCCTTGTGGTTTGAATACTAAAGAAATGCTGCTTTTTGTACCTCAGGATGGTGCGATGGATGCATGATTTCTAGCTCCTTCCCTTGTGTTATTTTATTGATGCCTCTGCTGCGTTTAACACCTGATCGTACAAGTAGCTCCTGGGTTCTCTTCACGCTGCCCTGAGTGCTCCGTCTGGCCTCCCTCACAGCTGAAACGTTTTCCTAATATTCCTCCTCAGCGTGCCTCAATGCTTAATGCTCAACGCTCTCCCTCCTCGCCCTGGAAAGTCTCTCTCCCTCTTCTGGTCCTGCACCTGCTCTCCTCCAATCATCAGACCTTCTGTAACCAATCACTCCCTGCAACCCTTGAAGCATCTCAAAATCAACATGTTACCATCCCGAGTTCATAATCTTGGCCAAATTGGCTTCCTTGCTCTATTCTCCATCTCGATTCATGTCATGACGTTCAGACAGTTGAATGAGTTAGAAATTTAGGGGCACCTCTGACTCTTCCCCCCACATTGAGTTAGTCATCAAGACCTGACCCTTAAAAAAAAAACAACAACTTCTTAAGCTTTTCTGGAATCTATTAGCATCCCTGCTCCCTGATTAACAAACAGCTCTGAGGGGAAGCCTTGATTTGTAGCATTTGCCCGATGTCCATGGCATAAATACTCCCACCATAGCTGATTCAAGCCATCCAAAGTTTAACAGTGTCTCCCCCAAATTTCTAGAAACTGCATTGGGTTTTGCAAGATGGTACAAGCCAGCTCCAGTGCACATTGGCCCCAACCCTCCTTGGTGCTTCTCAGCCTCTCCCTCTTCAAACTTCTCTCCCCTTAAGCCATTCTGTATCCAGCGGCTAAACTCAGTTCTGAACATGCCAGCCCCCCCGCCCCCTGCAGAAACGACGCTGATGGCTTCTTGGGTGATTCAATCCACGCCACTGACCAGTGCACTGAGCTCTTGGACACACAACCCTGTCTGCCTCTCCAGTGTCATTTCTTGGCTCCCATCTTTTTTTTCTTTCTTTGAGCCTTGGCTCAGCTGAAACCCCCTCCCACCATTTTTCAGGTTGGGTCAGCTGCCCCATATCAGCAGGCTTTGATTACGGCACTTACAACCTTGTATTTGTGGGGTTTTGTTTGTGGTCTTTCTTATGAGTCTAAAAGCTTCTTGAAGGAGAAATCATGTGTTTGTTTTTTTCCCCTAGCTTTGTATATATGGAACAGTGGCTTTCTCATTGAAATTGATCAATAAACACTTTAAAAAAATGATTCTTTTTAAAAAGATTTTATTTATATATAAATAAATCTCTCGTAGAGAGTGCATACGCATGGGGGGGGGGGGGGGGGGGGGGGGGGAGTGGAGGGCGGGGAGTGGGAGAAGCAGACTTCCTGCTGAGCAGGGAGCCTGACTCGACTTGGGGCTCCGTTGGATCCTAGGACCTGGGATCACGACCTGAGTGGAAGGCAGATGCTGAACCAGCTGAACCACCCAGGTGCCCCTGAAATCAATCAATAAACACTTAATTACTGAAGTAAGATTATCAAAGTTCTGCACATGTGTGCGTACGTGTGTGTATTGGGGATGAGGTGGGAGTTTAACAATCGTCTATTTACCTGTTGCTGTGTAAAAACTGCCCCTCCCTCCATTGTGGCTTAGAACAGTAGCAGTTGTTTTGCTCAGGGACCGGGGTTTAGTGGGTCTGTGGGGCAGCCTGGGCCCTGGTTCCTTCTGCAGATGCAGCTGCAGTCCAATGGGAGCTGGAGCGGAAACCTCTCAAAGAGGTCTTTACCTCCACGTCTGGGACGACTCAAACGGTCGGGGTTCCTCAGGACTCCATCCTGCACATGGCTGCCTCAGTAACTGGACTTCTTCCAGGTGGTTGAAAGTGGACTTCCTGGGCCCCCGCTCCCACCTGTCCTGCCATGATGACTGCCATCTGTCTGTTCCCATGTTTGGAGGGTACGGTCCCCAACACTACAAGATGGCTTTGAGATGTGCTTTTCCCACTCTCACTGATGACGGACTAAGTTTCAGGTCAGAAGCTCCATGTTTTTCCTTCAGTTCCTGGCTGAAAACTCTCCTGGGTCTTTCAGCAGCTAACCATTTGTCTCCTGAAAGTCACTAAAATGGTGACATTGGAAGCCAAGTTGTTGAGAGAAAGCCCTGGGAGCTCTGATTGGCAGATTTTAGGTCCAAAAAAATACGTAAGTTTTTATTTTTAAAACCCACAATCCATATTTTCCTTCCGCGTCCCTCTAGGTCCTGATCTCTGACCCTGCAATGGGTACTTTTCCCTTCCCTCCATTTGACACAGATAACCTCTTCACCAGCAATTTACAACAATTGAATACTTTTTGCACCCTATTTCGTGCAATAGATATTTTTTTAAAAAGGCAAGCTTTTTGACGATGATAAAGAAGCCATAAAAATGATCTTCGAGGTTGTGAACTAAGCAGGCAAGATGCTCGGCCAGCCATCTGAAGACTCAGGCTAGAGCCTGGCTCCACCATTCAATAGTTACCTCTCTGAACATCAGTGTCCTCATCTGTAAATGGTAACACCTGCCTTGCTCGCCTTCTAAAGCCGTAAGGGTCAGCTGTGCTGATACACACCAGAGCGGGATACACATGCAATGCTCCAATCTCCAAATGCACCAGGTGAACGCAGTGAGCAGAGCAAGGGCAATGGACGCAGACCTCAGATCTGAATTCTGGACCCTGTTGTGCACTAGGTGGACTTCTGTGACACTCCTCTCTCCTGGTTCTCCTGCGTCTGTTTGGAGGTCGTTGCTCCTCAGCAGGTACTCCTCCCGTTGATGTCTGATGGCTGAAATCCTCAGGTCTTGCTCCTGGGCTCTGTCCTCTGTTCGTGAGCTCTTTCCAGGGGACCTCATCATTGCCATGTCCTTAAATCCCATCTCTCCGCGGTGACTCCCAAGTGTATATCCCCCTGTCAGACCTCTTTTTTGTGTTCCACGGTGGTCTGTCCACCTGCCTCCTGGAGATGCCCCCACTGGGGAGCTGCACACGCAGCTCCAGTATAACCGGACGGAAGCAGTTCTGATTGTGTCCTATCCAGCAATGCCCGGGATGTAGCCCCCAATCCATCCCCCCCACCTGCGTTCTTCATGTGGCCTCCTCCATATCTCCGTGAGCTTGAAGTTCACCATCTGTGACTAACTTAACTGTCTAACCCTCTACTCACTTACCGTGTAGCACAGTCCACACGCCCTATGGCAGTACTCCTTTCTTGTTAACTTGACTATTATTGGTTATCCTTTCTAGAAAATCAGCTCCATGAGGGGACCGTGGCTCTCGTTCACCTTTCTAGCCCCAGGGCCATGCAAAGTGCCTGATCCATAGCAGCTGCTCAGCAATGATCTGACGAACACATGAATGTGTGTCCTGAGCAGGTTACTAACCTTGAGATAACTCAGTCTACTCTGTAACAAGAGAATTGGGTGAGATTTGAGATAATACATGGAGAAAAGCCTAGTCCAGGACCTGGCACATAGTAGGTACATAGTGGTAGTTACCATTCCTATAAAGAATAAAAGAATAAGCTATACAGGTTATAAGGAATATATCCTTTAAGCACCTAAAGAACATACGTGGGCTATAAAGAATAAGCACATAATGTGCATCAAAAAGGTCAATCAAATCTGGTGTAATACACGTTGCTAAACTTAGTATACCAACTGTAGAACTTATTACATATATAGGCGCCTGGGCTGAGACAGTCCAGATCACTGTCCAGGGACAGTGATCCAAATGGTGTGTATCCTGATGCCCATCAATTTGAGAACCGGTGATGTAGAATATACATTGAAGTATATGGGTGTATTAGGGTTCTCCAGATGAAAAAAAAAAAGATTTTATATATATGGTGAGAAAGAGCAAGATGCGAGAGGTCTAGGATCCACAGGGTGGGCCAGTGGGCTAGAAATTCAGGAAGTGTTTCTATGCTGCAGCCTTGGCCAGAAGCCTTTCCCACTTTGGGGAACTTTAGTCTTTGCTCTTAAGGCCCTCAACTGATTGGATGAGGCCCACCCACATGATGGAGGGTAATCAGTTTTACTCAAAGTTACTGATTTAAATATTAATGACACCTAAAATATAATTTCACAGAATCATCTAGACTGGCGTTTGATCAAACAGTTGGAACTGAAGGCCTCGCCAAGTTGACACACAAAATTAACTGTCACATTGAGCAAATATTTTAATTATCAGTTTTAAAAAATATATTGAGCATTTAATATTTCTCCAGTTTTAGGCTAGGTCTCATGGAGTACTCTGGAATGTAAAACCCTAGTCCCTCCTCCTCCCCACCCAGGAGTGTGTTCCTGATTTTTTTAAATATTTAGTGTTTCTTCCCTTATTAAAGATTCAGTACATAAGAGGTGGGGAGAGGGTTCATGGTTAGGAGCTTTTTAGGACCTACTCAGGCAGAGAAGCCTAGAAAACTCTCCAAATAAAGACCTCCGTGTGTCATATTCACCCACCTCAGATAATACTTGCTTACTGTTGCATTCAGAAAGCCACAAAAACAAAACAA